TGATTCTGAATCGGTTCCATCCACATCACAAACAGTTTCCTTAAGATCTGACCACCGCATGTTGCAGCTGAGTAAATACTTGTAATATTCCTGTTGAAATCTGTGAAGTCCCAAGTTCAATATATGCCAACAGACCGATTATCCTGACTGAGGATTTTCACTGTTATCCTCAGCCCTTCCAGACAAATACGAGAACAGTATCTCAAATCAGGTGACAGTCAGTTGCTTCCAAATCCCTTCTAATTAATCACTCACTAATCATGATATCTTTTGACACTACACAGGCTGAGCTATTAAAAATTTGTTTAATAAAATATAAATAAATACAGATCCACCTTAATGTTATTCTTTCAACTCAGTCTTATCCTCCAAGGGACTGGTTTATCCATCAAAATTCCTTATGCACTCCTTGTCTCCCAATCTGAGCCACATATGAAGAACACCCAAACTTTCCTGTTTCCATCAGACTAACAATACACGGCAATCAGGTGCAAATATTTATTTCATGACATCGTTTCACAGCACTTGACATTTATATTTCTCAATATAAGAAATATATTTCACAACCACAAGCCAGTGTAGGGATTTAAAGTGGCAACTCAACAACACAGTGGTTAGTAGGTGGGGTTCCTATCCTAAGAACATTTAAATAAACTAATTTTATCCCTACAGTAATATGAAATGAGTACCAGGAATTAATTAAATAATTTTCCTGGGGAGTAAAGCGCAGTCTGCGCGTAAGGCTGACAACCTTACCGCCATCTTTGAGCCGATTGTGTAGATAATGTGGGACCCTCAACGTCTCACAACCCTATGGGCCTTCATGGCCTGTTACAGGGATAGCTTTACTTTTTTACTTACTTTAATGAGGATGGAAAAAGCTTCAATGGATTCATGCCTTCGAAGTTAATGATTATTTCACAATCAAATTAAACAACCACTAAAATAATCCTTCTATATATCTTGCTTTCAGGGTTCTGTAAAGAAAATGAGCTAATGTGTATAGATTACTGTTGTCTAGTAAGGCCCTCTTTCATGGACCAGACAGGCTTAAATTGTTGTATTTCACAAACAAGCCTCGCATATACGTGCCAAGAAGCTATAATGTTACTGCTGCTTAAATTGCTGAAGGCAGTGTATTAGACACATTCATCAGTACTTCCTGTATTTGTACTGCAGAGCATGTCAGTGTCAAAAAAATTTTCCATCACTCTTAACAGAAAAATGTAAAGATAAAAATGTAATATGGATTAGGCCACAGGGCAAGCAGGGTGAAATTAAAAAAATGACAACAGCAAACAAACAAATCTTTCATCAATGCTGCTGCCTTACGATAACAGAAAGTGTCATTTGAAAAATTACAACTTATTACTATCATCCTACATATTATAAGCAACTTGGATTGTTAAGCTTAATACTATTTCAGTAATCAGTGCTACTAACATCCTAGATAAAATGAACATCTACAACTCTGGGTGACTTACTTAACAATCCCCCACCCCTGGAAAACAGGGTAATCACATTTCTTGAACATCCATGAAGTGCACTGAATTTCTATCCTAAAGGAAAATGAGTAAATACAAGGTGGTTCAAATATGACCGGGACTGATCTGTGTGTAAACAAGCCGCACTGTGGGTCTGCTTCTACACTGCTATATCCTTTCAATACAACACTGTACAGGGTTATGGATCTTTACCTTCAACTGCCCAATCATCAGTTGGAAAAAATCAGGAATCTGGAATCCTTTCAACACTTCATGGACCTGTTGAACCTGTGGGTACAACTGATCCTAGCCCACCAAGTTCTCATGACATAACATTACACAATACAAACACAAATGGGGCAAAAAACAGCAAAAAGCTCCTATAATCAAATCTCCAGAATTCACTGCAATTGTTAAGACTGAAATGTATTACATAAATGACTATTTGTATTTGCAAATATTCACATACAACAACAATGAAGCAACATTATTGAATAAAATAAAACCAGCAAATAAGAGGAACCTAAAGATGCATGATAACAAAGTCAACTGAAAATGAAGAGTGCGGCTTTTGTGTTGTTAAATATTCTGGCAAAGGATCCAAACACCTTGGTTCCTAGATTCAATACCAAGGAAAGAGAAGAAACTGGTACCTGAAGTCTGTGTTGGGGGTCAAGGCCAACAGCAGAATGTGCATGAAAGACAGAGGTTTTACTGTTTATTCCTATTTTCTTACCAATTCCCAAAAGCAAACATTTTTGTTCTCTTTCTATGTATGATTATATTAATTATGTTAAGAACTGATAAGAAATTCTACAAACTGAAGAGGTGGAGAAAACCTGCTCCAGTGCCTGTCCACCACAAATCCCACATGATCTGATTTAGGATCAAACTTGGGCCACTGCAATGGAAAGTCAGTGAAAGACAATATGAATTATGGCAGAGCAAACTCATTACTTAAGTACCAATTCTCTCTATGTTAAATGTTACATTAAATTATCTCAAAGTTTGGCACCACTGATATACAAATAAAGTAGGATTTGATGTTCTCACAGCGGTTGTTATGAAGAGTTCTATCTTCTGGGAGATAATGCCTTGCAGTCTACTGCAAGTCAACTGATATCTCAAAGTAACATATTCCACTAAAACATCAGCTCATATTCAATGGACTACAAGCACTATATCCCAGCAGACAGAATTCTTGGTATTTTGTATGTTCATGAATGTTTACAATCTATGTACATTTATAATTTCATATTCATAGCTCCAGATAGTTATTTCTGTCAAGCTGAAAACTAAATTATTATTTCTGGACGACATATATGTTGTTGTGTCACATTCTACAAAGGAAATTACCTAAACAAAAGTTGTCTATTTATCAAACATCTACTGTCATGCAAGATTTCAGAGTAGTCACTCCCACTTAACATATCTATGCATACTATGTTGTGATCTGTGATGGGTGGAAAGTGAAATGTACAATTATGTACATGTCCACTAACGGCATAATGTTTGTCAATTTCTTGAAAATCAGTCAACCAATTTAAAATCTAAAAAGGAGATTCAAGTGCCTGTGCACACACACAGTACCATCTCATACATTTGCCCTTTCTCTATAAAATGGAAATTTTGTTAAAAATATGCCAGTATACATCCAAATAATTACAGCAGTGAATACTGGCAAGTATTTATCTTGCAATCATATATAGGGAAACTTTGTGTAGCCATATTAGCTTCTATTTATGTCTGTTACTAATTACATTACATTACATTATTTTAATACTATATCTCAATATCACTCCTCTTCTTCTTACAACACACATCAATTCGAATTGAGAGAAAACTTCACCCAAATACAAGCCAGATGTTGCATTTTGGAAGCATCATATATGTACAATTAAAACAAACGTCGACTAACATAACCCTAATTACAACACGAAATTTGGTAATAATTATTATGTACTTCATTTCCACACTGTAACCTTTAAATTACTTAAACGATAGAAGTGGTTTGGGCAATTATGCTAAAGCAGTACAGTAAAATCATCGATTCAGGACACCGGTAATAATGTAGGTCCCGCCCCCTTTTTAAGTACGATTGTACTTATTTTGCAGGGTAAAGTGTAATCTGTCTACATAACATAAAAAAAGTTTACTCACAAACTCAATCCGGTAGGTTTTTTTTCGATTTGGACTTTAGACCACAATAAAGTTGCATTTAAAAATATTCGAAAAATACTTCGCACCTTAATATACAATACATTACGATTCTGCTAGATGGCAGCACCCGCAAAGGAGAGGAGCCAGACAAATCAGTTGAATTTGTTCCTTTAGGAACACAATTGACGGGGCAAGCCCTTAATAGGGCAGATAGTTCTGCACTGATATCGCAGAACGTCGAAGTATGAAGTTCACTACGTACCAATATAAAACTGTAGCGCACAAAAGCAACCATCTATATCCTCTCTTAGAGCTGTCCAACATAAAACCGTGTCTGAAAGCTGTAGCCTAATTGTTGTAGTGTATTCACCTAACATGATTTTATTTGGAGTAACAGCTAACAGAACATAAAATCATTATCTACATCTCATTAAATAAGCATTCACTGTTACTCATTCCGGTTCATCCAGAGACCCTCTTGTCTGTATACGAAAGACTAAAGACAGCAGGAAAATGGTTATGCTTCTGGGTTGTCTTCAACTTCCATCGTTGATCAAATTACGAGGAATGATTTTCTATACATAGCGAAGAGCAAATTCTTAAAAAAAAAAAAACTTATAATTAAGTCAATTTAGGATCTTCATGTTATGTTATGTCTGATTATGTTGGTTAGGTACGGTTGGGTTGACTTATATTATGGTCGGTTACCGTGAAACATGCATTGAGTATTCAGTTGTGTGTTCACATCCGCCTACACCTTTCTGTAATAGTATACAGTTATCGAAATTTGCTGACAGTGCGAAGTTCGTAGTTGGTCGGAACTCGAAAGCCGATACCACTTATATTTAAAGTGGCGAGATTCAGTTCGGACTTAAATGTGGGGGGAGCACGTAATTAGTATCTAGCTGCAGACAGAATGTTCTGTTTTCATGAAGAAATGTTCTAGACACCGAATTACAGTAACTTAATAGTGAAAATATTTTTTTTAATTGATATACATGTCTATTTTAAAGTAAGTATTTTCTGTGTCTTCATTACTGATAGTTAAAGGAGTGAAGATGGTTTGAGGTATATAAAATATTTTTAAATTAAGTTGTATGGGTCAGAAAAACTGATTTATTATTCAAAATGATTCTACGTCCCTTCGCGTGACCTGTTACAAAGTATGCCTAAATTCTATCCAGCTTCGGCACTGTACTCCTCCTGTCCACGGTTCACTAAATTATGTCTCCTACTGGATTGCCATCACTGAACTATGAACACAACTGGAAGAAGTGACTCCTGAGCTCCTGAGAGAGACATGAGAGTAACAGGGATCAAACAGCTGAGCACCGAGAGGAGCATGCAGTATTTGTCAAATACGTTCTGAACGCACATTGGTTAGACTGAAGATAATTGAAGTTTGACACCCGTCATAAGTAATCAAAACAGTTAGGGAGAGATAGGACATCAGTTTTTAGCATTTTTAAGTACAATTTAAGATTCTGTTGAAAGAACTCATACAGGAGATGGGGAGCACTGACAAAGCAGTGATAACTGGTTTTATATGTCGACTTTGTTCCAAGATGAATCGTTTTGTTATTCATATTTATGGTGAAGAGGGAGAGAGGATGCGCCTAGCCGAGAAAATTAATGCCTATTTACCAATAACGGTTTGTTTTCTTTCTTTGTGGTATTCGTGATAGTGGATGATAACTGGAGTAATTTCAGTGAATAATAATGTGATTCCAAGCAAATAGTATTGGTTATGTAAGGACAAATTACAATCGAGGACTAGAGTTCGTATACTTTACTAGTTCTAGCTTCGATACAGAAGGAATGCACATAAGATTTAGGAAAGGCGTATGAAATCATTTTCACTATGATGCTCGTTATACATTACCCGATAAGTATAATGTATTAAGACATGTTTTAGAACATTCATTGGAAATCGTGATAGATGCACAGAAGTTTAATATTATACTTTTATTTTCAGATTAATGTTAATGATCCTTTACCAAAAACAGTGTGCTTGCCATGCATTGATCGTCTGGAAGCGCACCATGAATTGATGGAACAATTTACATGGGCAAGGCAACGCTTAGCAGAAGCAAAAGCTGCAGAAAATTCACAAGTTAGTATTGCTGGATGATCCGCATGCTGATTTCTTCATTGCCATGCATTTTACATGTGAGACCGTAACTTTTTCAGCACCTCTACCATGACACCTTGTAAATTATCACAGTAATATTAACTGATGTGAACGTAGAGGTCATCTGTTACCATACTTGTTAAGCGTATTTAGTTTCAGGTTTACGTACTGTACATATATACTGTTTTAGTTCAGTTGGGTTATTTAGTTTGATTTATATAGGTATGTATATACATATGCAGAAGATTATGTGCATGAGATGATAATAGGATGTTATAAAGATAGCATTGTATAATAGGGGATGAGTAACTATGTTTTCACTGTTTTATGTTTGTGAAATTACTTTTGAGACAAAGGATTAAAATGAAGACAATCTGTAAGGTGAATTCTTCTTTTATAGAAATCAATTCATCCTAGTCAAGCTAGAAGTGGCAGTTGTGCTCTTCCTGGTTGCAGTTCATCTGCACAAGAGGAGGACTCTCATGAAATGGACACTAGAACACATGAGTAGGGCTGAAGCACAGAATACATGCTTCACAGTTATTAATGGACCAAAATGCTCAAAGTATATTCCAAGTGTAAGGACAGGCTGATATTCTGTTAAAGCAAGCATAGAAATGTATGAGAGTTCAGGGATTTCATGAGCATCCTCTGGGTGACAAACATGTATACAATATATGAACTGCGCTTTTTGTAGTAGGTTATATAATTTTTATTATTTTTGTTTAATTTTTACAATCATACGGTAAAATCTAGTTATCCAGAGCTGAGTGTTTTGTATTACCCTTCAGGGCGAGCCCCAGGCCGAACAGTGAATGACTGTATGTATGATAGTGGTGTTTTATGAATATGTGATAACTGTTTCACTTCATGTAAATTATACTATAAGAAAGGGATCCTCTAAGATGTGCTGAGTGTCACAGCATGATTTAATCACTGATAATACTTATGAAATGGATGCACTTTTGCAAATACATATTATATTTCCCAATACATATTTTTAATGTCTTAGTAATCACCTTTAGGCATTTGCGTGTAAATTAGCAATGAAATGTAAAAAAATATAAATAAGAATTATGCCAGTGAAATGTCTTTTCTTAATAAAGAAGATATGAGGAAACCTGATTTCATCATTTGCACCAGTATAGGTCAGTGGCAGCCTATTCCAAGGCTTAGCTTCTGAGCATGTTGCTGGGATATGCCTCATTGTTTGCTGCAGTATATATAAGAGTTAAATGACACTTGGTATAGGAACAAAACATCACATTGTTTTTCACCATATTTCCCAGGGAGGTCAGTAAATCTTTTGCATCTTAGTTTCATACTGTGAAGATTCTTTGGGGGTATGTTTAGTCCAGTGGTAAATGGTAGTTTATTCTGCAGGACAATTTAAAATTTCTGCCATGAAGAGAGTTTTTCAATGTTGAAAAGAACTAGAAGTCACATGACATAAAGTCTGGAGAGTCTAGATGATGCACAGTGGTGACATGAAGAGTTGTATTATACTGCAACATCCTGTTGCACTGTGTATTCTGACTATATGTTCCCACTCTTTGGCGGCTTTGTGTAACCTCATTGATATATTAATGTTCTTATGTCTTCATTTCTTTATCACATAACACTACGTGTTTTGACCTAACTGGCCATCATCAGGTGTATAAGGTGTTGAGTTGAAGGAACCTGCTGCTCTGCTATTATGCTTTTCATTTTTGATGTAATTTTCTGGGTTATATTGCTGCTGTTATGCATGTGTCTAGAGTAGTTTTTGTTCGTTTATCCTTTTGTTCTGCGTGACTGTTCCACTTACCACGAATGACTGTGATGACTAGCCACTGTCAGCAAGCTTCCGCTTCTACAGAAACACTCAGAACACACACTCAGAAAAAAAAACACACACATGCACACACACACACAACAAAAGAATAAACCAACAAAAATGTAACTTAATGTCCATGTATTTATCGTCTGTCAATATTGCAACACTTGTTTATTCACCACTTAATTTTAAAACATTTTACACTTTGACACAACATGTTTCGGCCCCAAATGGCCATCTTCAGGTGTCTTGATATGTTACAAATATTTTATTAAATTATGTTAAAACTGCTACACTGTGTTAGTCGGTGTTAAAATCACACGCTGTAGTTCTCTTTTCAAAGTAAAACAAGATAAAATCTATTAATCCCATGTTATTTTGGTGCAGTCTACTTCACCTCACAAGGGGTGTCATCCATTGTTCATGAATGTATGCTGTCCCAGGTGTTTTGTTCCGGCAGCTTGCCCTCCACGTGGTGGAGGAAACATGCAAACCAGGGACATATTGCAGACATAACTGAAAAGTAGTCTACAAACGTGATATAAACCTCATATAAAATAGCAATTACTACCACTGTGAAAAGAAAAAACAAAAATACTGCACTTTCAGGAAGGTGTGTGTGTCCTAACTTTCCAAGCCTTCAAAACAGAGTAATCCATGCATTCTTCCATACACTGAATGTTTTGAAAAACTGATCAATTTTTAGACATTTTCTGTGATCATAAAAATTTCATTTCACTATGTAATGGCACTTGCTGTATGGTGTGAGGATTTTCATTGCTCCATATTCTTACATTTTGTGCACTGACATGGCCACTGATGTGAAACCATGTTTCAGTAGTCATGAACAGAAGCCATGGATCCACAATTCCATCGTGCACATTTCGCAGCAGGCAGTTGCAAAAATGAATTTTTGCTGCATAATGCGGTTGTTTCAGCTCATGCACAACTGTTATTTTGTATGGGCAAAGTTTTATTAATTTTGTGGCTGAAACACCGGTTTCCTGTGTTTGAGTCTTTAACGATTTTCAAGGACTGATCTGTAGTCGTGCCTGAGTACCCCGAACCTTTTCTTCAGTCAGGGCAATCCTCTTTGATTGCTTCTTTATGTCAAACACTGAACCTGTGGCCTGCCACTTCTTCACAAGCTTGGATACACACAATTTGGTGGGAACTGGCGAGTCAGGATATGTATGGCGAAACCTATGGATATATTTTCTGTTAAGTTTTTTCTTGCAAAAGTTTTCACAATAAACACGCCTTTCAATAGTGAACATCACTTCAGTATAAATGTTGACTGCCTATTGACAGTTACAGCAGCAATCTGTGAGAAATGTTGTGCCTGCACTACGCTGCTGCCAGGTTTCCTCTATCACTGCTGCACTGTGCAACAGACTACATAATTTAACGTCTAAATCAGCCCTTAAATATGGAAGTGAGACATGGGTACTGAGAACCCGGGTAGTGCAGCACAGACCCATTGCTAGGCAACAACCACAGAATAAGCAACTCTACAACAGCTGCCGATAACTAATGACTCCGCAAACAAGCATGTTTCCACAGTAATAATTGCACTGCAACATTTATGTGCGGTCCACACAGAGATGTTATGAGGACCAGTTAGTGAAGAATTAAGTCAGAGAATTGCAGTTCAATTGTCATGAGCTGTTGCTGTGAGAAGCTGAGGCCAGCGACAGTTAAGAATTGTCCCATGTATGCATGTGACTATAGATGGGGTTTGGATTGGTGACTGAATTTAGACTTTTTTATACAATGCATGACTACACTTTACAAATCACTATCACACACAGACTAGTGTTCTCAGTCTTCACTAGCCCTTGCTTGGTAGCGGCTTCCAACAGCAGGCGTTCCCCTTCTTCTGGGTTCCTGAGTTATACCTGGCCTCATCTACCAGCTTCTCACAGCAACAGCTTTGCTTTGCAACCCTGTAATGTCTTCTGGAATCCTTGGATATGTTCCACACATTGAAATATAATTTGATGAAGACGCCTAAAAGATTTCTGGAGTCAAAGAAGCATCATGACAGCATCCATTGCTACATAATGGCTCGTTAAAACATGTATCCACAGCAACGACCGCACACAACAGCAGAAGAACTGTTGGGAATGTGTTTTCTCACAGTTCTGCAATGAAGTTACATAAAGAGAGCCTGCAAGACCCTGAGCATGAGTCATCAAGCGCAGAAATATTAGGGTGAGTTCCTATAGCTGGAGGCCGTAACCAAGCAATGAGTACATGAAGATATATCAAACCAGAAAAACTTCAAATATGCTGTAGTTACTTATAGATTGTGAAGAGTAATAAAAATGTTATAATTATCTGTCGTTAAGGGCACTACGACGTACCCTGTGACAATATTGATACTATTTCTTTGTACATTCAAATTATGTTCATGGAAGATTGAGAAAATGTTGGATGAATGTGTCAGCTGTATTTTCAAACTGTCATCAGAAGACCATCTGCTCAATTACACTTTTTCAACTGCAAAAATGTGAACCTTATTTCTGAGTGCATACATTCTGGTTAGAATTCTGCCTTGCAACAATCAACAAACTTCAATACAATAAAATAAATGTGTCAATCAGTTCCAATATTTTAAAGCATCAGTTATTCACTGAACATCCACCAGAGAAATGAACAACTCCTTCCTTCAGTACTTCCATAAGATTAGAATGAACACCATCCAAATAATCTTTTGAAAATTGCATGTGTCATACTTGTAATTTCTTTGCAGCTACACCAGTTTAATTTATGCTACCCAGCTCTGCAGTCTTCCAATACTGCAAATATGGTTAATCAAGTTGTGTTTGAAAGTAAATTTAAAGAACAAAGCAAATCTTACATACATCCTGCCATATGTATCTCACATAAACTAAAAGTGTAGTGAAAATAGCTGGATATCAAAATCAACACCAAACTGTGAGTAACGAACATCATTTCTAAGTGTTCTGCAGCTGTACATATTCTGATAAACTATGTTATTACTAAGAGAGAGTTTTTAACTTTTCTGCAAATTTATCATAAAAATGCATTATCATATCTATTCAAGCTAGAAGAAGAGCCAGGATAATGCAGTTGGTATAGTGACTGACTATGGGCTGGATGACCGAGGGTTTGTAGTTCCGAGTCCCAGTAGGGCCAATAATTTTCTCCTCTCCATGACGTTCAGACTGGTTCTGGGGCCCACCCAGCCTGTGATCCAATTGGTACCAGGGTCTATTTCCTGGGAGGTAAAGCAGCCGGGGTGTGAAGCTAACCATTCACTTCCAACTAGAGCTGAGGTGGAGAAATCATGGATCTATACATCCACTCCCCCATACACCTTCATGGTATAGTGCTTAATTAGTTAAGCACAGGGACTTTATACAAACTAGAAAGAACTTTCTCATAATTTCATAGCTCATTTTTTCCTTTCCACACATTATGCAATCCTCAGTGCAACTCACTGTCGTCAAAACCCTTTAGAACTGACGTGTGGATTAATGATTATCATTATAATATCACAGTGCACTGGTGAGACAGAAGTATACTGTGCCATGATGGCTGAAAACCAGAACAGGGGAGCAGCAAGAGGTGAAAGCTGTTAGAGAATGGATGGTAAAGAAATTTCCATGGCAACAAATGTGCAGCAACAAAGGAATTGCTGTAAGTGAAGTTTTCTGTGCAGTCCATGCCTAAGGAGAATCAATGGAGTTGTTCAGCAGTTCAGAATGCAAGTGAGTCGGTGAGCCAGACCTGAGAAACAGGTCAAAGCCAACAGTTAATTGTCATCATCACCAGCTGCAGTTGACAGCCAGTGAGTACACAGTGATGGCTAGTGATGCCATGAGTTGAGAGTTGACAGTCGAGTTAGACGTAAGACAGATGCCAGCCTGTAAGGATGTAAGCACATGACACTGTTGGGATCCATTACCAGGCAACAGTCAGTGAAGACATAGAAGACAAGATTGTGCTGTAGTGAGAAGTAGAGTGCGCGAATTAATGACAACACCATAATTACTTGTAGTTACGATTTATAAGTGTTCCGTAAATCCAATCATCAATACAAAACTCATGTCTAGTCACTAATGCATGACAATACCTTAGCTACTAAGTATAACATGCCATAACAGAATACTTCAATATATAATTATGTAAAGTTTAAANGGTTAACACCACATATACACGGTGCCAAATCCCAGAAGACTGCTTTCTTCACAGTCACCGCCGTGAAAGCCTCAAATTTTAAATATATACCTTTCAATTTCTCTAATGAAATATAAAAGTTTACTAACATGTTTTTAAACTAACTGATTTTATATTGCATTAAATCATTAGCCATGTCCCAGTGAATTACTTCCCATGGTCCAGTAATTTGTTATGTCCCAGTCTGAAAAAAACTGATTCATATAACACCACACATAATTGTTACTGATTTATTCCACAGCCATGGATTACAATTTTTATTCCTAAATTAAGTGAAACAAATATGAAAGCTTTGGTCCAGCAACTCATCAACGCATACATACCAGCACCCACTCACTCACGCTCATTAATCTTCACATGAATTCCATAAAATGCAGGAACCTTTTAAGACACAAACGTGTAGCATGCAACTATAAGCAAACTGACACCTGGTAATTAACATGAAGCCAAAAATATGGTATTGTGTCTTCATATAAAGTTACGCCATTTGCAATAAATACAAAAATGATATTACATGAAACCAGTGTGGGAACTGTTCTTCCATACATTTATAATAAATTATTCTCCTAAGTAGCTGACCTTTCTTCTGGCTGGCAGTTGTGAAGGTTAGCACTTCCATATCACTTCAATTTCTTACTAAATCAAAACATTTGTATAACAGTAACATTTGTCCATATAAATGTATGTCATGTGATTCAGCAATGCCACACAGGAATCCACTAAAAGTACACATTAAATCCCCACCCCAGTGGGCTATATGTTGTAAATAAAAAGGCATGATATAATTTTATAAACAGCTCAGTCTCACACTAACAAAATAATTACAATTATGTATTTGTATCTATATATATATTTTTTGTATGTATGTGCACCCTGTCTCGCTGGAGCAGATAATATTTTAAAGTTTCAAAAAAGTAGGCAATAGAGATAAAGGCATAAAATTATTTTATTACATTGCTACAAAGACTAGTTCAACTGGAGGACAATACTGACTTCATCACTACAGTGATAAACCTGTTGGAAAATAAAGGAGAAGACAATGGTGACACCCAGACTCTAGTTCTGAACTCTGGATTCAGATCATAATGTATCTCACATTTATGCAGCAAGTTAAATTTAATCTGGTTGAATCTCGAAAAAGATTAAAATATTGATATATATTTGTATTAATGTGAGAATGGAATGGACATAGTCTGGCCTTTGCAATGGCCTGGAAATTCTAAATTAAAATGTGACTATTTCACTGTCTCAACACAGTTAAGTTTCAGAACAGGTCATGCTGTTGCATCATATGTCAAAAACTAAATTTAGGCAAGCTACCTAAGATTCATAATCAGGGAAGGTCTGTTTCAGTTACAACTGATGTAATTATAATAACCAGAATCAACTGAATCTGATGGCTCTATTCGTACAATGGCACAATATTATTGTTTTTTAACTGCTGCCTCAAAATGCAGATATTTCAAACAACAGATTTATGTTTTAAATTAACCAATAACTGATTAGTATATATGACTTACAATTTCAGTACACCAAAAGAAGTATGTATGAAATGAATAATTCCATGAATGTCTTTGTCCAGGAGCAGTTTGCACTCTCGAACACTACAGCACTGATGTTCCCTGCCTGTGTGACATAGGCTACACACCCATGTGGGAACATACCAGACTAGTTACCATACTCACCTAAAACAATTTCAAGTCAACCTTTTTTCTCCACAGATCTTTTCAAGTCTGTGACAGTCTTTTCAAGGACTTCAAGCCAGTCAGTATCTTCTTGCTCCTCAATGGGAGAGAAAAGGTCATCTGCTTCTGTTTCCTTTGAACATCCTGCAGATGATGATGAAGAGGAAGATGAGGATGACGACAATGAAGATGTAGAAGCTGATACTGAACCTAACGCAGCTGACGATGTTGGCTGAACCTTTGAACCTTCATTTTCCTCTTTCTGTAGGCTTAATTTGCGCTTCTTTGTTGGAGGCTCATCTGTAATTTCAACAGTAATGAGTGTAATCCTGTATTTAAAGTTGTGTTGTAATTTACCTCTTGGTACTTTTGTATTCATGAACGTATGCACAAACAACATATGTACATAGATGGATTGGAATGGAAATAAAGTGTAAATTCTTTTCTTTTTACATATACCTTCTACAGAATGCAATCCACTTTGACAGCAAACTGAAAGTAATTATTCTGTGACATTAACACTTTTCAACATGGCAGTTGTTTTAAGTGACTTCAAGACAGCTCTTCCTGTAATGCTATATAACTCAATGAAGAGGAGGCTAACAGAACTCCAACAGACTAGGAAACTACTACAAAGCCCCCAGAATGAAACAGCTTTCCAACGGAAACCTTCAAATAATGCAACAAATAAGCAGATTTCTTAGCAAAAGAGTTACACTAATCTGATAACTGAAAGACACTGGGTTTTCATTCCATTCATCAAAACTGACTGTCCATGCCAGGTTGAAGAAACATTACCCAAAAATTTCAAACAGAGAAGTAATAGTAAACATTGTAATCAGAAATCCAATCCCCAATCTCAGAAGGAAAAATGGTCTATCACTCTTCAGACTGTACATTGCACATTACTCTGTCACAAACAAAAAAACAATCCACAACCTTCGGCATAAGAGCAACAACTTTTGTATTTACAAACATGACAATACAATTTTCACGATATTTCATAATTCATTAGTTTTCACTGCACCATACTTCACTGTACAATTCACATATACACAGTGTGTCCAGGTTCTGTTTGGACTGTGTTCATTAAAAATACAGGGCGTGAATTATTTTCAAAATTTCACTCTTTTTATTCTAAATAGTCTCTTTCTAAATCAATACATAGCTGGAATCGATTGAAAAGTTTTTGAAAACAGTCACTGTACTCCTTTCGTGGAATCACATCTAAAACTACAGTAGATTCCCTTTGGATGTCCTGGATGGTGTCGTGACGGTCTCCTTTCATCGCCAACTTAACTTCTTGGAACAATGAGAAATCTGCTGGAGCCAAGTCTGGTGAATACAAAGGATGAACAAGGACTGTGATCCCCTTTCTGGCCAAAAAATCGCGCACGATCTTCGATTTGTGGCGTGGGGCATTGTCGTGGAGGAGCAACCAGGAACCTTGCTCTTGATAGTCAGGTCGAATTCAAAGAATTCTCTCCCACATACGATTGAGGACACCGAGATTATAATCAGAATTCACTGCTTGACCTTATGGCAGAAATTCCTTGTGAATGATTCCTTTGGAATTGAAGAAAACGGTTAGCAGTGTCCTTACTCGACTCTTTTGCATGCGCACTTTCTTTGGTTTCAGCTTCTTTGGGCTCAACCATGCTGTACTCTGCCACTTTGTGAGACACTCATATTGAAAACACCATATCTTGTAACCGAGCACAGACCTTCCATTTGCCCAAATCCTTGGTCAACATTTGATGCATAGTACTTTTTGGTATTCGCAAAAGCTCCTCAATGAGTCTTGCAGAAACATATCTGTCTGATGCAAGGATTTCGGTCCCTTTTTTCACATTTTCTTCAGTATGAACTGTTCTTGGCTTTGATGCATGTGGAGTGTCTTCAATGTCCTCCTTGCCGTCAAGAAATACAGCATTCCATCAAAAAATGTTCGAGCGACTCAAACAATCACTACTGTACACACTTTTCATCGTTTCGTATGCTTCTCCAGCTGTTTTGTCTAACTTCAAACAAAATTGTTGGCTCTCTGTTCAACTGCCATTTTCCGACGAGCGTCAGAACACATGATGCAGTGATGCTTGCGCTTTGAAATTATAGAGCCACAGCTGAAACTTCAAGATTCTTAACGCCACAACTCGCCAACAGATGGCACTGCAGGGCAAAATGTGCAGAATTAGATCCAGGTAAGATGTAACAGTTTTTATTAATATATTTCAGGTACTTTTGGATTGCACCACGCATTTCTCTGCCTTTGAAAAAAGAAACTTCATACAAATCTAAGTTGTTCATGGTTGGGAAAATAAAGCTTGCTAAATGAAAAATAGGTACAAATTAACATGCTTTATTGCAGCAAACTTTCATAAATTTAGTGTTTGTATAACGATGGATACCAGTACTCACCTAGTATCTACCAAGTGACCTTCACATTCTCACTGATATGATTTATACCAAGATGAACTTGAGAAGACAAGAGGTTGTGTTCACCTATGTCAAAGACTGCTATTCTTAGCCATGTATCATGAACTTCTCACCTGTTATGTCCACTTCTGCAGCCTGCTTACGTGCCAGCTTTGTCTTCGCCAACAGGGCATCAACTGTGGAAATAAGTTCTTCTGATGGCGAAAGAGGAACATCTGAGTTGTACACAAGAGCCAAAGCTCGCAGATCCCCATTCAACTTGTATGCTGTAGCCTGAATATTCACTTGGCTCATTATATCCGAGAGAGATGATATCAGATTCTCAATCAAATTACAAGTCTGCTCAGTCAACACATGTGCTGCTACCTGCAAATGAACAGAGACAGACACGGGTGCGTTTGAGCCTTTCAAACATCTTTATTTAAGCTGACTCTCTCTTCCCATTACAAAATATAAATACATTTAGGACTGTTCAACTGCTGAAATTATTAGCTACTTACAATCTATCATTAACAAATTAACTGTCTGCTAATAATGTACTGTCATAATACAAAACCATTTTGTTATTGTACAAATAGGCTATACATTGTATAAAGATGTGACAAACTGCTATCTGTTTCTGAAATGTCAGTAGATGTCAACAGTTACCTCTAAATATAGAAAATACAAAAATCTAAAAACATGGGTCCTGCAAAATGGAAATTTTACTGTCACACTATTTATTGCTGTCATTTGTTAGGTGATTTTAATATTTCAACTATTTAATGCTGAAGGTATTATATACTTAGAAACTGGCTGCAGTGGACCCCACTTAAGATCCCATTTAAAATGATTTTCCACACTTAAAAAATTAAAATAATGGGGCTCCAAAAGTAATGCCATAAGAATAATCTGCTTATAACCCACTTAATGTTTCCCATGTAAAAAGGCATACCCCCACCAACAGCAATCTAAGACAAGTACTGAATATTTTACACCTTTCATAAGTTTTTGTTGGATTAGACTGTGTAGTTGCTGATCGCAGTAGCTTTGCCGTCTAAGGCATGAATGTCCAAGTGCATTTATTCTGTTTGTGTTTTCTGTGGGTAGGTAGCAGCCTTGCAACAGGTTGATCCCCTGTCCAAGGAGTCCTACTGACTCTGCATAGATTAAGAAACTGAAAGAGTGGCCAAGGTTCACAAGGGCCGTAGAGCCAGAGACAGACAGATAGTGTGTAGTATATACAAAAATGAACGAGAAATAAAGTTGACATTAACATAAATCAAACATGTTGCTGCAATCTGCAGCACTCAGTCTGTGGTAGAAGTTCAATGGAATTAGAGGTGACTTTATGACCTTCACCATTCACTCAGCTGGTAGTATGGGCTTTGTGTGCAAGATTACATACAGTGAACATATGTGCTGAATATCACAAACATGCATGAGAGTAAACTGATCTGTGTACTATATACAGATGTATGCATGGCTATGGAAACAAACATAAAATGTAAGGTACTACCAGTTTCTCAGAAATTAAAGATCACCCTTCAAAAGTCCCCTGGTTCTATACGTATCACCTGCTTTAACACAGTGCGGTGTACTTGATCAATGTCTTGCCAGGCAAAAGCTCTGTAAACACGATACACAGTAGGTACCCGTCATGTGGCATGTTTCCTGCATGTCTGTCAGTTTGCACGTGTGCGGTGACATCACACAGGAACAGTGGGTAGGGGTCATGTGATATGTGTTTACTGTTGGTCGATGTCAGTCCCTCGGCTATATAAGTGAGTGACAGAGTGCTGAGATCTGAGTTCTTGGTAGAAGATAGCCACAGAAGGTTCACCATAGAAGAGGAATAAGAAGTCAACTTGGGAAGACTTTATTCATGTGTAATACTTCGAGTGTGTGATTCAGTGAGACTGCTATAGTTCCTGCATTTTAATTTTGTAACCAGGAGAGGACCTGTGTGTATATCAGCAATAGCACTGTATTTAAATGTGATTAACAGAGATTGAAACCAATAAATCCAATCATATGAACTATAAGGGGCAGTCAAATGAAAATGGGTCACCATGCATAACTCACACGGCATGCAAGTTGGTAACACTGGAATTTGCTTACGGTATGAACATCTGGTGGGGACTCAGGAAAGCACAGTGATGTGTCCTTACACACTAGCTGTTTGCTTATTTTGCTGGAAGTAAGGTTAGCGCTATGTGTGGTAGTCCGACATCAGTAATGGAGGTGGGTAAAGAAGAACAGCGAAGTGTAGTGCGCTTTTTGACTGCTGAAGGAGCAGGAGGATGAGAAATTCATCATCGCATGTCTATTGTTTATGGCTAACACAGCATGTCAGGTTTGCGTCTGCTGGTGTGGCATAAGAGATTCCGAGAGGGACGTGTGTCACTGCAAGATGATGCTCACCCAGGACAGGCTCATCGCATCTTCACTCCTGATGTTGTTGCTGTGTTGGTCATATCCAGGCAAACCAACTGATCACTGTGGAAGAAATTAGTCTTTTGATGGGAATAAGTCACAGTTCCATACACGCCATTGTGACAAAACACCTGCTGTACCGCAAAATCTGTGTGCAGTGGGTTCCACATGAACTCACGGAGGAAAAGATGACTGAGAGAATGGCTGCATCACTGGGTCACTTGCAACGATACCATGAGGAAGAGCATGCTTTTCTGTCCTGTACTGCCACTGGGGACGAAACTTGGTGCCATCATTTTGAACCCAAGAGCAAATGGCAGAGCCAACAGTGGAAACATGTAAATTCTCCCCCACCCAAGGAATCCAAAGCCATACAAACAAGTTCTGGTAAAGTGATGATGACGTTCTTCTTCAACTGCAAGGGCCGTCTGCTTGTTGAATTTCTCGAGCCACAATCAGTGCACAGTGCTATGAAGACACTTTGCAGAAACTGAGACGTGCCATAAAGTCAAAACGCCCTGGAATGCTATCAAACGGAATTTTCCTTCTTCATGACAATGCATGGCCCCACACTGCCAACTCTGTGAGGAATACGCTAGAGAGATTTGGCTGGGAAGTGCTTCAACTTCCTCCCTACAGCGCAGAGCTCTTCCCATGTGATTTTCACATTTTTGGAGACCTAAACAGAGACATTCGTGGACATTGGTTTGCATCAGACAAAGTCGTGTGTGGCTGGGTAAAGATGTGGTTCCATAGGCAGCCCACAAGCTTCTTCAAGGATCGGGTTGACCATCTTATCTCCCAGTGGGATAAATGTATTAACAGTATTGGAGATTACTTTTGAGGTAAGAAATGTTCTTTAATATTGTAACGTGTTTACGTTACTGAAGACGCCGTAGAGATGGTTAATTGGTTTATTTAACAATCTACAGATAACGGCTACAATTACTTATCACACAGTTGCGGGGTTTCACACTTTATAACCCTAATCGCATTAATCTGTTAACACTGTTGCGGGGTTTCACGACTTATAACCCTATGCGCAAATCAGTTCACTCTGCCTTCAGCAGTCTACACGTTTACAGTGNTCTAAGACAAGTACTGAATATTTTACACCTTTCATAAGTTTTTGTTGGATTAGACTGTGTAGTTGCTGATCGCAGTAGCTTTGCCGTCTAAGGCATGAATGTCCAAGTGCATTTATTCTGTTTGTGTTTTCTGTGGGTAGGTAGCAGCCTTGCAACAGGTTGATCCCCTGTCCAAGGAGTCCTACTGACTCTGCATAGATTAAGAAACTGAAAGAGTGGCCAAGGTTCACAAGGGCCGTAGAGCCAGAGACAGACAGATAGTGTGTAGTATATACAAAAATGAACGAGAAATAAAGTTGACATTAACATAAATCAAACATGTTGCTGCAATCTGCAGCACTCAGTCTGTGGTAGAAGTTCAATGGAATTAGAGGTGACTTTATGACCTTCACCATTCACTCAGCTGGTAGTATGGGCTTTGTGTGCAAGATTACATACAGTGAACATATGTGCTGAATATCACAAACATGCATGAGAGTAAACTGATCTGTGTACTATATACAGATGTATGCATGGCTATGGAAACAAACATAAAATGTAAGGTACTACCAGTTTCTCAGAAATTAAAGATCACCCTTCAAAAGTCCCCTGGTTCTATACGTATCACCTGCTTTAACACAGTGCGGTGTACTTGATCAATGTCTTGCCAGGCAAAAGCTCTGTAAACACGATACACAGTAGGTACCCGTCATGTGGCATGTTTCCTGCATGTCTGTCAGTTTGCACGTGTGCGGTGACATCACACAGGAACAGTGGGTAGGGGTCATGTGATATGTGTTTACTGTTGGTCGATGTCAGTCCCTCGGCTATATAAGTGAGTGACAGAGTGCTGAGATCTGAGTTCTTGGTAGAAGATAGCCACAGAAGGTTCACCATAGAAGAGGAATAAGAAGTCAACTTGGGAAGACTTTATTCATGTGTAATACTTCGAGTGTGTGATTCAGTGAGACTGCTATAGTTCCTGCATTTTAATTTTGTAACCAGGAGAGGACCTGTGTGTATATCAGCAATAGCACTGTATTTAAATGTGATTAACAGAGATTGAAACCAATAAATCCAATCATATGAACTATAAGGGGCAGTCAAATGAAAATGGGTCACCATGCATAACTCACACGGCATGCAAGTTGGTAACACTGGAATTTGCTTACGGTATGAACATCTGGTGGGGACTCAGGAAAGCACAGTGATGTGTCCTTACACACTAGCTGTTTGCTTATTTTGCTGGAAGTAAGGTTAGCGCTATGTGTGGTAGTCCGACATCAGTAATGGAGGTGGGTAAAGAAGAACAGCGAAGTGTAGTGCGCTTTTTGACTGCTGAAGGAGTAGGAGGATGAGAAATTCATCATCGCATGTCTATTGTTTATGGCTAACACAGCATGTCAGGTTTGCGTCTGCTGGTGTGGCATAAGAGATTCCGAGAGGGACGTGTGTCACTGCAAGATGATGCTCACCCAGGACAGGCTCATCGCATCTTCACTCCTGATGTTGTTGCTGTGTTGGTCATATCCAGGCAAACCAACTGATCGCTGTGGAAGAAATTAGTCTTTTGATGGGAATAAGTCACGGTTCCATACACGCCATTGTGACAAAACACCTGCTGTACCGCAAAATCTGTGTGCAGTGGGTTCCACATGAACTCACGGAGGAAAAGATGACTGAGAGAATGGCTGCATCACTGGGTCACTTGCAACGATACCATGAGGAAGAGTATGCTTTTCTGTCCTGTACTGCCACTGGGGACGAAACTTGGTGCCATCATTTTGAACCCGAGAGCAAATGGCAGAGCCAACAGTGGAAACATGTAAATTCTCCCCCACCCAAGGAATCCAAAGCCATATAAACAAGTTCTGGTAAAGTGATGATGACGTTCTTCTTCAACTGCAAGGGCCCTCTGCTTGTTGAATTTCTTGAGCATGTGGCCACAATCAGCGCACAGTGCTATGAAGACACTTTGCAGAAACTGAGACGTGCCATAAAGTCAAAACGCCCTGGAATGTTATCAAACANGAGAGAATGGCTGCATCACTGGGTCACTTGCAACGATACCATGAGGAAGAGTATGCTTTTCTGTCCTGTACTGCCACTGGGGACGAAACTTGGTGCCATCATTTTGAACCCGAGAGCAAATGGCAGAGCCAACAGTGGAAACATGTAAATTCTCCCCCACCCAAGGAATCCAAAGCCATACAAACAAGTTCTGGTAAAGTGATGATGACGTTCTTCTTCAACTGCAAGGGCCCTCTGCTTGTTGAATTTCTTGAGCATGTGGCCACAATCAGCGCACAGTGCTATGAAGACACTTTGCAGAAACTGAGACGTGCCATAAAGTCAAAACGCCCTGGAATGCTATCAAACAGAATTTTCCTTCTTCATGACAATGCATGGCCCCACACTGCCAACTCTGTGAGGAATATGCTAGAGAGATTTGGTTGGGAAGTGCTTCAACTTCCTCCCTACAGCGCAGATCTCTTCCCATGTGATTTTCACATTTTTGGAGACCTAAACAGAGACATTCATGGACATCAGTTTGCATCAGACAAAGATGTGTGTGACTGGGTAAAGATGTGGTTCCATAGGCAGCCCACAAGCTTTTTCAAGGATGGGGTTGACCGTCTTATCTCCCAGTGGGATAAATGTATTAACGGTTATGGAGATAACTTCTGAGGTAAGAAATGCTCTTTAATATGTTTTGGCTTCTGACCCGTTTTCATTTGACTGCCCCTCATAGAACCTGTCCTTTCTGTCATGTCTGCCACCTGACACGTGACAATACTAAAACTCTGAACTGTGCTCACAGAGTGTATTTGTGTTTCATATGATTCTCACAATATGCAGCATTTGTTTCCCTAGGCAGTATCAATCTGATGATCTTTGTAGCAGAGATCACCTTCAAAACTGGAGACTTAGTGTCTGAAGAAGCCAAAGATAAATACCTGAATTTCTACACATGGAAATTTTGAAATACTGAGACCACAAACATATAATTCAAACCAGTTACCTTTGGGAAGTACATTGATAAGAAGTTGTAAATGATAGGATTATTGAGACATGTCCTCTCATCTAACAGCACAGCCTCCACATAGTCAACAAAGTAATTACTGTTGGCCAGCAATGTTATGTACTTCCTGTCCAAATGCTGCAATGTTAAAAAACACAGTATTAATTCTTATATTTAATTACTTTTCCTTACTGCACTTCCTATTTCCTTTCATACATACAGTAGACTCTGTTATTTGCATGTGGGACTTTTAAGAGACCCTTACTTATTGATTATAGCTTACTGTAATCATCTGTTTCAGAAATATGTATCAGTGATGACTAAACAATGATTTGCAATAGACTGTACCTCTCATCACCTTACTGCAAGTTTCTATAACTGTACTGCTCCTGCCATCTACTATTGGGTGACACATGAAATGATCCCCAACTTATTTTCACTGTAAATGGCAAGCTTGTAATTGGAGGAGTCTGGATCACACAGGTGAATGTTCTACTTCACGGAGGTTCCAGCTTGTTACCAAGAAAGTATGTAACACCATACACCAAGCTGGCAAACAAAGGGAGACTTTACTGCAAAGCAAAGAGCAAAAACTATTCTGCCTTTTCTGTAGAAACAAAGAGTCTTGCTGCAACAGAGACATGTTTCTGTGCTCATGCTGGGGTCACGGAGGGCTCCTAAAAAAATTGTTCACCAGCTTTGTTTTGGAGCAGAATCATCATGCTACAAATGTATGTACTGCCCAAAACACTGACACTGTCAAAAGTTTTATGCCTCAACAGGTTTGTCAGTAATCACACAATGGTTTATGCAGGATGGCATCATGGCCCCCTCCCCCCACACAAACATTACCTTTGACTTCCTCCATGATATCTTTGGTACAAGTGAGATTTCTTGCCAGTATCCTGATCATCAAGCATGTGGGAGGATCTGGTCTCCAACAGCATGGACACTAATCCCTGCTTCTTTGGGGATTAATGAAGGCTGGCCTCATTGATAGAGCTGAGGGCTCTGGTTTTCCAGCTGTGTCACATTATGGAGGTCATGTGCTGTCACATGGTCAGGAATATACACATTCATCTTTTGGAAGCTGTATCACGCAACAGCAATCATACCAAGCTGCTTGAGATTTATTTCCATGCCTTGGCACCTGAGTACATAGGCAAGTTGCATCATTATGATATTACAGTATTTGTGCATTATCTGAAATGGTAATCACTTCATGTGCCACCTAATACCAATAAGCAAGGGTTGCTTAGGGCCACACCATAGCTTAAGCGGTTAGTCGCTGGTTTCCCACCATGGCGGCCCAGGTTGGGTCAAGTAAGATTTGTGGTGGACAAAGTGGCGCTGGGGCGGATTTTTTTCTCCGAGTACTTTGGTTTCCCAGTTGGACTCCGCCCCCCCACTAAGCGAATTTAAGGGTTGCTTACTTCTACTGTCAAGATATCTGTCTCACTTCTTAGTGCGTATGTAATAATTAAATGGTTTATAGGGTTAATACACCATGGACAGTGGGTATTTCATGATCACTGGATTATCTATTGTTTTCTATTAGCCATGCTATTCTAGTGGGTAGTATAAACCGAAGGCTCATCTGTACAATTATTATTATAACTTCTGGTAGCCACTGCACAGAAGCAGAAAAATTATAAGGAAAGTCAGCTCGTAAGTACTACCTTTAACTTGTTTCTTTCTGAACTTTCAAAACCAATTCAAACTCAGACTGAAGTTTACAAATCTGAATTTCATAGTTCTCACATATGTACTTACATTCCAATCTTTTTACCTGAGCATGGTGTATGTCCAACCACAGTTTGGGAAAGTAGGTGAGATGAAGGGGAACACCCTCAAAGCCAACCATGGTGCTCAGGTTCACAAGCGCCTCAGACATGCAGTCATTGTTGATAGCCAGGCGGCACATGACATCAATAAAATCATGGTATGGGGAATAAAATTCAAGCAGTGCTTTATCATATTCAGGGTCAACACCCTAGGGGGAAAAACATACAAGTAAACTTCATAGCTGGAAATACGAATAAACAGTTCTGTTTATGTACCCTTCAGTTACATCTCAAAATGCATCCATTATGCTCTTGATGGAAGGAACAGCTTCTAAGCAGAAATGACCACTGGGCAGAAGTCTGTATAATGCCTATAATAGTATTATGGCCAATGAAAGGAATTACAGCTCAGCATGGGCTCTGAACCATGTTAAGAGTTTTGGCATTGCCAGATGTAAGTGAATAAGATGGCAAGAGGACTGACATAACCAGTCTTTAACCCAATACCTTTGGCACATAAATCCATCCGCTTACTGCAAAGACCACAATGGATGATTTTTACAAGATCTTAAAATGATAATCTTTTTGATAACGATGCAGGCAACAAATACTCAATTATAACATTTGCAAGTCAATCTGTACGTGGAAATGTACAGTACTGATAAGACTATGGGAGTTCCTACTGCCATCATAACACAGAAATTTTTTTTGTTAATGTCAGTGATGGTATAAAATTAATTCGATAGCCTAAAAAAATTAGGTTCCTCCATTAACTTTAAGCACATATTTCTAGCAATTACAAATGACATTCATTCTTGACACCAGACACTAAGTGTCCATAAGTATAGAGATTATTTTTACTGTGTGGACCGGGTCCACAGCTCTGCAGTTCATGGTGGCCGGTGCACCACTTGCCGCGTGGCACATACAAATTTTGCCGATGAATCGGCATGCCTGACGGCTGATAACGTTCGGAATGTAGTAGTTACAATTCACAGATCACAGGAGGTGTTGAAAATGTCCTCTATACATGTACATATATTTTTGTAATTGTTTAATTAAAAAACACAGATGCAACAATCTCCCTTGCTCTTACAGCACACCAGACACCAACTTTCACTGGATGGCTTAAGCAATGGTGTTGCAATTCTTGCTCTAGACTTTGACACTCCAGTCTCTTGAGCTAGACATTTCAGTGATTTTCTAGGTGTATGTTCATGTCTGACCCCTATGTCATCTAACTTCTCCTCAGTAAGCGCTCGGTGCTTATGTTTGTGTTTCTTGCTTATTAAGTGTCCTGTTGTTCTAAGTTCATTCACCAAATTATGAATTGTTTGTCTGCTTGGAAGTCTTTTATCATGAAATTTTCAACAACACTTTCTAGCAGATTCATATTTCACATGGGTGACATACAGAAATACACGTTGCTCTAAAGTATACCACATCATGATGTACCAACTACTCACTAACTGAAACTGAGAACAAATGGCTAATGTAGCTGATAACTGCTGACAAATCATAAACAAGTCTGCAAGTTAATTACTTCCCTTCATTCCAAATGTTATCGGCCAACAGGCATGCTCATTCACTGGCAAAATTTGTATATGCCTTGCAGCAAGTGGCACACTGGCCACCATTAAGCACAGAGCTGTGGACCCGGTCCACACAGTAAAAATATTCCCTCTATAAACTCACTGCAGCAGGAAAAAAAGTCATTCATTTGTAGCAAAGAATAAAGATACTTTAAGTGAGTGAATGAGTGTCAAGATGTAGTCAGCCGGTGAAATGCATAAGTTAAAACTTAATAAAAATATAACTACAACCTTAGCAGCTTCAAGCTGCCCGTGAGGGACTGCCATCTGTACCATAGGTCTTGATGGACGTGTTCCAGCCTTCAGTCCCACAGGCAGTTTGTGTCCTCGACGAGGAAAGTATGGTCCCATTGGCAAAGCGTTGTGACTTTCTTGGAATGCTGCATGGCAATGAGATAGCAACGGAACCAGCACCTGTATGACTTCTGAGGGAAGCAGCAGTAGGATCTCCTTTAAAACCTCTGAGGATCAAAGTAAACATTTCATTCACAAATTTGGTCTGTTCAAGAGCTGTAAAGTTGTCTGTAATTTTTCATACTTCACTGGCCTTGGAGCATCTATTTATTATAGATAAAGATCTATTGTTACAAAGCCTACAGCATCACACTGCACTGGGCCCTCAACTGTTATTTCTTGTATTTAATTAAACATTTATTTTGCAAAGTGTTGCAAATAAAATTTGTAGATCATAATATCTTTATTTTGTCAAAGGCCATTCTTTAGCATCAGTTGCTTTTGATGTGTCTGATTTCAGCTTACTGTTAGAGCAGGATTATATTTCTGGATTAATTTATAGCTGGTATGCGAACAGGGGATCTTTTAACCAGTCAAGTGGTTATGACATCTATAGACAACATGTGGTCCTGTGTATAGTAGTGGCCACGATGTCTATAGACATCACGCACTTCTAAGTCCTCTGTTGCAGACATAATGCTAGTCAGCAATGGAAACTTGTATTTTGTGCTTGCAAAATGTTCCAGCTACTTCAGAGTGTGACAGGAAGTTGGTGATTGCTTGATAGCTGTCCTACATTCAAGTTCTTTCGACTAAACATTATGGCACGTCCTAGCAAGAAGATGCGTGTAAGTCGTGAGGAGGTGTTGTATGAACTGTTACAAGAGAATGAATACAGTGGTATTTAATAGAATGAATATAGTAGTGAGAGTGAAATAAAAGTGAAAATTTTGTTAGGCGGTGAACAAAGTGTCAGGTCTGATGAAGCAGAAAACGTCAGTGACAGCAGTACCATGCAACGTGATGTATGGGCAAATTCAGGTGCTGAGTGACCAAATGTTCCATTTACTGGCAAGCCTGGCATGTAACCTCCTGGAATATTCGAGTTGTTTTGTATGCCAGACATTGCAGAAGTAATAGCCACAGAAATAAATTGGTATGCTCAAAAATTTTTAGAAAATGTGCCTAACCTAAAACTCAAACCTTGGACTCACTGCTGGGCTGGTAGTGAAAACTACATACTTATAAAATATTAAATATTTACAGTATTTGCCACTTGAGTTGCAGCAATGTTTTCTGTGGTGTAAATGTTTTAGTGATGATTTAATAGTCTGTGAAAGATAACGACTTTGCGGTGATGTCTGGAAGAACAGTTCATTCATCTACAATAGCCTTGAGCTTGCAAAGGAAGTACTATTTTTAAGCCCAAACAGCAATAAGAAACTCTATTTATCAATGAGGCATACACAGTTTTGCTGGACAGATTTGTCAGCTGACTATTATGATTATACAGAATTTTACTAAAAAAATACATATAAACTTTAATGTAATGGCTATAGTAAAGAAAATACAGGTATGTGAAGTCTGATAATTGGTCTTTCAGAGGCTTGTTGTTCCATAATTTTATAATGAGACATAATTGAGACATTGCATTTTAAAAAGGGAGCACAAATTATAAAATTACTGAAGGCAGTGACAAATTTAAACGTCTGGGGGAATTTAATGTGTCACTCAGGGAGAGATAAGAACATGGGAAAAAATCACTTGACTGGTTAATAGTAAGCACTGAACTCCACACAATGTTTGGTAGGATAATATTAAAACAATGTACTGGAAGTGGGTAGCAGAGACTTCACTCAGACTGAGCTGGCTAAGGAGACTTTAAACAGCAAGTTCCAGTTACACTGATGGGAAACTTAAGTTTTACCATTTTTTTTATTGCTAGTGGGGTGGGACTAAATCCCTTGTACTGCGGCCACTTCTGGCCTATTGTACCAGCCCCAGATGATACGTGAGGGTGATTGTGGAGCAATTGGTGGAATGAAGATTGGCAGGGGAAATTGAAGTACTCAGAGAAAACCTGCCCCAGCGCCACTTTGTCCACCACAAATCAACTTGACCAGACCTGGGATCGAACCCGGGCCGCTGCGATGGGAAGTCAGTGGCTAACCGCTTGAGCTATGGCGCAGCCTTAAGTTTTACCATACTAAGGCATCTGTTACATGTGACATATTTGGCTTAAAACAGATCAATAAAAAGGTCTCAAATGGGAAAATGCACTGTGGCATCCACTGGTCTTGAAGCATATGAAAACAGTAAAATGGTTTCTAAATTTGAATGACTCAAACTGTTGAAGCAAAGGACACATTTGTAGGTAGTAAATATGAAAGTACATGCAAAATCAAACCCTAAGACTACAAAAATTATGTAAAATGAAAGGAAGAGACTTCAAACAATGGGAACAGAAATGTACTCTGTTTACCTATGCATGAGGCTCGCATTTCAGATGAGTTGTACGTGTTGAGCAGAGTGGCCAATTTACGCAGGACTTCCACCCATTCCTTCGTGCCCAGCAACACGCCACGAACATCCTTATTTTCACGGTACATACGCAGGCATTTGATCAAGTCCAGCAGTATAGAAAGCAGTTCTAGCAAGTCCCCAGACACATGGCATGCAGTTGCTTCATGGTACATCACATGCAAAGTGTGAAATGCCTGTAAAACATTTCTAATATTATAACAGTGAATCCTCCACATTATAATAATCACTGCACCCAACTTTTTGGAAATAGAGATGAAGTTTCTCAGTACCACTTAAAAAGCAAATAAAGGGCAAGAAAACAAATCCATGATCTCTAGACTTCATTGCAAGACTGATGATGATGGTCATTTTCACACACTGGCTGACACTGCTCCTACAGAAAGAGTAATATACACACTGGATAGGAGGCAAAATGGGCTCCAGACTTGGACATAGTTGTACTCGTAAAAAGAAATAGTTTGCCCTTGTGAGAAACCCCATCCTTACTGTCCGGTCTGTTATCAGCCATTTACCTACAATCATTACACAGAGGCTTAACACAGAGAAACTTTTAAAACCACTACATGAAGTCAAATGGTTAGGTCCTACTACAGACAAACAGGGTTTAAGCACCCAAACTCCAAACAGCATTCTCTGTAGTTGATTAAGGTTACTGGCGGCCAGTTTGTAAACAGCACTGCAGCAAAACATGAAGTCTGTTAGATAAACCAAACAAAATTCATGTTACAACAGCAAAATAACGCATAAAGTTAACTTACAACAAAATCTATGAAATGGTTTATGGGACACATGGGAAGCCCACTCATAGTCGTGTAATCAGTCTATATGGTTAAAAATCAAAATGGCCAACTAATGTTTCACACAGACTTCTCATCTTGAATTTCATCAAATTTTAATTACTGGTTTATAATACACATGCATAAGTTAATTTATGACATTATGTAAATTAGGTTCTGTAACTGGTCAATATCCATATTTTTTTCACGTCGGCACTAGTTGGAGGTGAGTGGTCAGCTTCATGCCCCAGCCACTTTATCCTGGGGAAAGAGCCCCCAGTACCCATTTGATAGGAGGCTGGGTGGGCCCCAGAGCCAGTCTGGATGATGTGGAGAAGAGATAATTCTTTCTACAGGGACTCTAATTCCAAACCCTTAGTCATCCAGCCTGTAGCCAGTTGCTGTACTGACTGGGCTATCCCAGCTCTACACATCCACTCCCCCATATGTTTTCATGGCATAGTGCTTAATTAGTTAAGCACTGGGACAACTTTTAAATGGTCAATATGGTTAAGAATCAAAATGCTAACTGAAGTTATACATACATCTCTTATACAGCACTTCACCAAAAATTCATTACCAGCTCATGACATATACGAAAAATTAATTTATGACCATATGTAATCTAGGCTTTGTCATGGAACAATGTGGCTAAAAATTGGGATTTCCTGATTACTTTTTAGTGGAAGTCTCCAATGCTGAATTTTAAAAAATCTGTCCTACTGTTAGGTACATCAGCACCTAAAAAGTTTACAGACATTACCTGGACACAAGGCGTTATTTTCCTTTTTCACTTTGTAATGAATCCCTAAAAACAAACAGCTTTAGCTAATGAATGATTCTTGATTTATAATATTCTTAAACTGCCTAAGTTCTGTAGTGTCTAGCTGTAAGATGCTAATTGAACCGGAACGGATGTGGAAGGAAGTGGTCCTGGAATATTTTATGGTATTATCACAGAAATAGCCTGCAGGGACTGAGTAAAACCACATGAACCTGTCAGTACAGCTAACACTGAAACCTGCCACTTCTGAAGCAGTAGCACTAACCACTCAACCATGGTACTTGGTAAACAGCTTTAGCCTTTGTTCTGTGATGTATGAGATGTTTATATGGCTATACAAAGATATATGGTGCAAGATGATAACAGTGAAACTCTTTGGAGGGCTGCCTACAATAAATGTGAAATCAAGAAAACTGTAAAATAAGGGAAATGTGGTTTTCATTATACCATAACTGTGATAGATCATTTTAAAAATATAAGTTTGAATATTTAACAATGACAATGTAGAAAATATGGCTCTTGGTTTATTTTATGATGCTTTATCAACTACTGCTGTTATGCAGCATCATAAGATGAGATGGTGATTATAACTGATGAATGGAAAGGATGAGGAAGGAAGCGGTCATAGTCTATTTCAAGGTACTATCCCAGCATCTGCCTGGATTGACTGGCAAACATGGCATGTACCTAGTTATATTATTTCCTTAACCATTCATTAAGAGCCTTTTCTTTCTTTTCTTCCTGGGTGCTCAGTCTGTATAATCCATTTTCATCTTTATTGCACATTACAATAATACTGCTGTTGGTACGGTCACGTTTAGGTCACGCAATAGCTCAAGTGGTTAGTTGCTGGCTTCCCACCATGGTGGCCCAGGTTCGATCCCAGGTCTGGTCAAGTGGGATTTGTGAACAACAAAGTGGGGCTGGGGCAGTTTTCTCCGAGTACGTTGGTTTTCCCTGCCAATCTTCATTCCACCAAATCCTCCATCATCATCACCCGGGGCAGGTAAAATAGCCCAATCAGTGGCTGCCGTGCCGAGTGGACCCAACTGGACTCCAACCCCAACTAAGTGAATAGTCACATTTTCTGGGTTAGCGTGACAAATAATAATGGGTTCTGGATTAGATGATTGGATTTACTGGCGCTTCTTTACAATTACAATGAATTATTACAGCTTGCAATCAATCTCGACTGCCAAAGCCTTTCTTCATTCTTCAAACAACCTTCACTGTCCTCTATAAACCTTCAGCATGGACCACAAGGAGAAAACACATTGAGAACACTGTATCCTAGCAATTTCTCTATTGTTATTGAGCTGTGTTTACATTGCCACAGCACAGAAACGGCAATTCTTGTATTGTTGCCGCAAGAATGTGTTTGGTGACCTATTGCCCAGCAATAAATATATAGGTCGTGCCTTGTAACTTTAGATGCATGGAAAGGTAAATGCTGTTGTGGAGCACGCGAAGCTATACGCTTGCTGTGGTGATGTTCAGAGCTACTCCCCAAGCAGAAAACATTAGCTATTGCTTCCCTGGCCTCACTATGAATTGTTCTGTGCGATTGTCGGTGTGCCACGAACACCATGTAATACAATCGCCAGTACTAATAAGTACTATACACCTGACCACACTCAAAGATGCTACAGTCCAAACTGGTAGTACCCACGCTGATGTAAGCTGATAAGACTGCTCCCCCAGCCCCGTGAGAAATGGTATGACCCCTCTACCATGGCTAGAGTTCCGAGGAACTAACAGGACATGTGACATTGCTCCCTCCTTAAGGTTGTTATTCCCAAATAACCTATCAGTGTGTCACCATTCCTTCTTTTCTGAGGTTTCTGCTCTTGACGTCTTCTTGTGTGACTACTCAGATTTTCCCGTGGTGACCACTCTCCAACCTCTACCACTGCTTCCTCCTTAAGGGCACTCATCCCAAGCAGCAATGGTGATTCTTTGGAACACTCATCATATATGGGAGAGACAAACTGTTCTTGCTGAGGTAGTTTTACTAAGATGCAACGAAATTAAAGTTGGCCTACAGCGAAAGCTGCTTGGACTGTGGTGGTCAAAAAAATCCCCTCATGCGCAACAGGCCTTAGTGAAGACACATGGTGCCCAGGGGTCAATTACACCTGTGCATCAGCCAAATGGCAGTATCTACATTTAAATTCTGAGAACTGAAATACAAAATATAAAACTGGGAAAATTTTGTAGGCAGGAATAGAAAAATTGATTGCAAATTCAGGGAAAACATGAAGATGGAGAAATGTAAAATTGGTTAAAGTTTAGCATTACTGTTATGGGTGCTTGGCTGGAACCATGCAAAAGTGTGCAAATTCGTCAAAATNATGGTATGACCCCTCTACCATGGCTAGAGTTCCGAGGAACTAACAGGACATGTGACATTGCTCCCTCCTTAAGGTTGTTATTCCGAAATAACCTATCAGTGTGTCACCATTCCTTCTTTTCCGAGGTTTCTGCTCTTGACGTCTTCTTGTGTGACTACTCCGATTTTCTCATGGTGACCACACTCCAACCACTACCACCGCTCCCTCCTTCAGGGTGCTCATCCCAAGCAGCAATGGTGAGTCTTTGGAACACTCATCATATATGGGAGAGACAAACTGTTCTTGCTGAGGTACAGTTTTACTAAGATGCAACGAAATTAAAGTTGGCCTACAGCGAAAGCTGCTTGGACTGTGGTGGTCAAAAAAATCCCCTCATGCGCAACAGGCCTTAGTGAAGACACATGGTGCCCAGGGGTCAATTACACCTGTGCATCAGCCAAATGGCAGTATCTACATTTAAATTCTGAGAACTGAAATACAAAATATAAAACTGGGAAAATTTTGTAGGCAGGAATAGAAAAATTGATTGCAAATTCAGGGAAAACATGAAGATGGAGAAATGTAAAATTGGTTAAAGTTTAGCATTTCTGTTATGGGTGCTTGGCTGGAACCATGCAAAAGTGTGCAAATTCGTCAAAATTATAAAATCAAAGTTTCATTGTACATGGCTTCAACATAGCTCACAGAATACTTAAAAAAAAAATTAGTTACCTCAAATGCCATCTGCAGTCCACCATTATAAATTACATACAGTCGGTCATCATCATGATCTATGAGAGAACGAAAAGCTAGAATTAATGTAGCCCAGCATGATCTACTGTCCAGAATCTGCAACAAACAAAGGTTTCATATTTGAAGTAATTATCATTACTACACAGCCTGCAAAACAGATTTTGGATGTGACAATACTTCGATATCTGAACTGTCAATAAAAATGCATGAAATGAAACATCCCAAAAAATCTGAAGTCATATTTACAACAAACTTATGTTTCTCACGATTAAAACAATAGGTACAAGTAAATCATCGGGGGGGGGCATTAGACATGAAGCTGGGAGGAAATGTGACATCTTCGGAACAATGTAAAAAAAGCATTTCAGAAAGATAAAAAGTTTCATTTTGAAAGAACAGAATTCAGGAGGAACAATTCAGAATAGATACTCGTAAGGGTGCAANGTTAAAAAAAAATAAAAGTTTAATTTTGAAAAAAGAGAATTTGGGGAGAAAAATTCAAAAAAGAAGGGTAAAAAAAAAAAAAAAAAGGGAAAGAAAGAACCCCTCCATTTAAGGTTTCTTTGGGGAGCAAGGAATTTGAAAACTAAGCTGTGGAAAATTTTAAATGAAATTTAACAGACTACTGATTTGGATCACTGAAAGTGAACATCAAATGAGAGTAAACCTTAAATTAGGGAACACTAAATGAGGATCCCACTGTACTTGTTCCTGTGAGCATGGGTAAGTAGCGTTAATAAAATGCTGGAGATGAACAAGCTACTAAGAGTACAGTCCTCTGGGTTGTAATTCCATGTAATTCAGAGAGAGCTCAATGTTTCGGTGGAATATCTCATCTCCATCTTTGAGGTCAAAGAATAAGCTTAGCTTGCTGCCTACTTCCGCTGGTTTCTTGCATAGCTTCTCTTTGACCCTGAAAAAGGAGGCAATATGTTTCTCTTAAATGTTGGACTCTCTCTGAACTACACAGTATTACTAGTCAGAAGACTGTACTCTTCAAAATCACTGCTGTGAAAACATCCAATCAAACACAACAATTAATTTATCATAAAACACATACAGTCCAAATTCTGACACACAATGGGGACTAGTAATATGAAAATGCCCCCAATTTGTATCAGGTTTCTATATTTCTCTTCTTTTTAAGTTTTATCAGCAATGGGTCCTCATTTTATCTGCTGAACCGTTGCAGATACCATGGACTTCCTGAAGTTCAAGATTTCCTCCTTAGATGACATGAATGAGCAGAAATAACAAACTTCAAGTAATGTGATGCCAAGATGGCAGACTGGAGGTGTTTATGGCAAACCAAAAGACAAATTACTAGCAGACACTGATTTTTGCCCAATGCAAGTAACTGTATTGATAGTCACAGTGAATCAGACATTAAGAGTGACAGCAGTAACAGTGAAATTGCACTGGTTTGCGGCAAAAGACCATCTGTTTGCAAACTGTCGTTCAAATAAACGTGAGGGTAAAAAAGATAAAGCTATGGCTGTAAAAGGCAATGGAGACACATAGGGTTGGAGACATTGATGTTCTGACATTTTCTGGATAACAGGCTCACAGATGGTGATGAGCGAGCTGCCCTTATGCCCACGAAGATACCTGGTACTCATTTCTGTTAGGGGCTGAGTCGACCCCAGAACCACAGTGTGGCTAGAAGGATCAGGTTGACTGAAAATCTAGTGACCTCACTGGGAATCGAACAGGCAACCTTCCGGCTCATTGCAAAACTATGCTACCACGTGCCCCCTAACGTGATGGTATGTTTAAGAAATAGACATGTCAAGCTGGTGAGTGTGTAGATTGTTCTAAATCTTCCCTAATATTATTGCAGACACTAGTTTTTAAATCAATGAGGTACTTTAGGAAGTATGATTTCTTTTATAAAAATTAGGTTCTCAAAGTGTTAAACTAGCAGCCTCAATTCACATAATCATATGCAAAGAAATATGAGTCCTTACATGCCAGCCAATGCCCCAGCACATGCCAAGATTTTCTTCTAAATCTGACAATGATAAATAACACTACCAGAATGTGTTTTTGTATGCCTCTCATGCAAAAATAATGCAAACTTGCTAAATATTTATAAGAAAGAAAAATATTAAAAAAAAAAACTGTAAATAAAAAATCAAACACATTTCATGTCCAATACACTTTTCTGGTAAGTCGTACAGTTTTCAAGATAAAAAAAGAAATGGATTTCATGCTGTCTGTAGGCTGAAGGAACCAAAAGTGTTTTCTTATGCAAACATTTTTCTGAGTTGCTTGAAGTAGTTATCATGTAGGTATTAAAGTAACAAAGAATAATTCAACATTATTGATGTCTTACATATTTCGTGACATGAGTACTTAAGTCTGAATAATTTAATAATTTAATTTAATAATTTAATTTATCCACTGATAGGCTGTGACATGGTAAAACACCCCTCTACAGCAATGAACATGTGATATCACAACAGAGAATTGATGGATCATTGCTAGGCAACGAGGTGTTTTCTACTGGGTCAGTGCTGAGGCTATATGAGATGAGAGCTGGACATAGTCAGTGCATGGACAGTTGCAGCTTGACAGCCAAGAATGTGAGGGCATTTGGAGCCACGGGTGAGATGTGAGACAGTCGCCAGCTGGTATTGATGAGAAGAGGATAACTATTGCATTGATTGTTGTCTGAAACTTACTGTCTTCTGCCTATCTGGTAATGGCGAAAGAATCCATTTTTGAGGCGAATGCACCTTGAACTAGATTCCACCATCCCCCAACGACAGCATGACAACCATCAGATTGACTTACAACTTGACATGAGCTCCAAACAATAATTCCTGGTATTTCTAACATACAGAAAGTTTTATTCTCGCCAGAATTGATGCAAGAAAGAAATATTCAGGGAAAAAAAAGTTACAGGATGTGATGGCCAGTCTTGAACCCAAAAATTTTAGCAGAAAAGTTAAGTGCCATATTCCTAAAGTCTAATCCCAATTAAGGGCCAACAGACATTTGCTAAGTATTCTAGTCTTGTAGCACCTTACCTGAAGGTACAGTTGTAATGTTTGTTTCTTAAAATTATTTATTTCATGGATCTCCTGCTCTGTGCTATCTGGAAACTTCACCACAAAAAGCTGGATTAATTTAAACAGCTCATCCACAGCCTGAAAGCAATAAAAGCAGAATTCAATATCATTTGAACCAGTATTATCTAACTACTGATATGTTCTGATGACTGCAGGACATCCGATGGGTGAGGTGGCATTAGCTATAATATCATACAGCATGAAAGTTGACAGTTTACTTACTGATATACAGTTATACTGCATGATTATATGCATGATTTGGTACAATACTGAGCAATCTGTGAAGGATTACTGTGACTGAAAATTTTAAAGGTTAAGTATTAATAAAGAATACAAATACCTTATCAGACCTCAATTAATAAATCAATAAGATAATTTCACGTAGGCACAGTCAATACTATGCGAAGTAGTTAAACCGTTACATGGCATATTCAGCACTTAAACACCTCAAATACCTGCCATTATTGACAAATAGATTCTTAGGTTACTTAATGACAGTTTGTGGCCATGCCATGGCTCATGCGGTTAGTTGCTAGCTTCCCACCATTGCGGCCTGGGTTTGAGCCCATGTCAGGTCCTGTGGGACTTGTGATGGACAAAATGGCACTGAGGCAGGTTTTATCTGAGTACTGCCAATTCGCATTCCACTGACTGTTCCACATTCATCATCTACCACATGGGGCTGGTACAACAGGCCAATTAGTGGACGATGTACCAAACTGACTCGGTCTCTCCCCACCTCAAGAAACTGAAACTGATGTAATGACAGATTCAACCAAATAGGTCACATGGTGTCCAACAAGATGGGAAGATGATAATGAATGGTGACTAGGCAGGGATGTGGAACCTCTGTTTGTAGTTAGTTAGTTATTGGAGACGGTGGGTTTCCCCATGCACTTAGACCAGTATTGGTCCACTGTGCTTCCCTCTACGATATTCTACCAGTCTCTGTATCCTACCGATATCGGTGCGTACCATCAGTCCCGACCGAGCCAGTGAGTTCGGCCTCCACTAGCTTGGCGGTATCTATAATGCTTCCCCCATCTATCAGAGGTGTTAGAGACTACTTGTTGGGTGGGAAATGTCCTAGAATTTGGCTCAGTGACCTCCTTTGGAGATATGAGGTTCTTTTACGTGCCGTAAAGCTACGACACGGGACACACAGCTTAAAGTCCCTCCCGGAGGACTTGTTCCCTGAATTTTTCCGCCCTTAAAAATTCGACAACCTCCGCCGGGTTTGAACCCGCGTACCACGAGTCATGAGGTGGGAACGTTACCTCTAGACTACGGAGGCTGCTCTGTTTGTAGTTATGTTAGGCACATAATTAAATTAACTTACAGCACTGTATTGAGTAGGATGTGGTGTGATGTTCTTGAATGCCCAATGTAGGTTCTGGTGATTAGCCAGCTGTCGAGTGAATGTGCGTGACTGAAGGCAGCAGAGTCGAAGTAATCCATAGTATGCAGGTAACATTCCACGGTTGAATAATACAACATCTTGGTCTTCATGATCAGCACTGCAAGCAAGATTAACCATTTCCTTATCAATTTGTTTCTCTGAAGGCTACACATAACTAGTTTACTAATGTAAACATTCAAAAGAAAGAAATAATGTAGGAGAACTGGTCTGATGACAAAGTCTGAGGTTCAAGCCCTGACTTTACCTGGTACAGATTGTCTATTTAATTACCTTTATCCACAGCTGGTGACAAAGCCAGATATCTGAAAATGTACTGATTTTCTAATTATGTATTGCACTCCTCAAATATCCAGACCTGTCCACTCCTATTAATACCGTTCACCCTACTGTTTCTGTACTTATACAGTGTGTAACTGAAAGGTATTGACAAACTTTGGACACAAGTTCCACACACCAACACAAGGAAAAATGTCCATATCAACATGTATCTGGAAACATTTAATCTCTGAGTTACAAACAAGATCTAAAAGTTTGTGACAATGGTACATTAGTACAAATATTATGTTTTTGGACATTATCCATCCTCCTGTCTGTATCTAAAAACACCATCCTGTCTATTTTTCAAAACAGATGTTTGGGAGACAGAATCCAGTCTCTGAAATGTTGTTTTGAGAAATAAACAGGATGGTGTTTTAGATAAAGACAGGGTGATGGACAATGTCCAAAAACATATTTGTACCGTTAGTTATAGCTGAAAGAATACTGTGTAGACACCAGCAGCACTACAGCACTAATTTGTGGGCAGGGACTGTTGCCGATTGTTTTGCAGGCCTGCATGCTTTGCCACCTCACATTACAGTCAGCTAGTACCAAGATATCCTCTTATACGATCTGCCAAAGCTACTAGAAGATGTACCACTGGCAGTAAAAGTATGAATGTGGTACATGTATGATGGTGTTCCAGCACATTTTAGCTGTGTTGTGTGACATGTTCTCAATAACACCTATCCTGAGTGATGGACAGGCAGAGCAGGAAACAATGCATGGCCTCCACACTCGCATTTTTACATAGTGAGGACACTTAACAAGTCTTGTGTATGCAGCTCCTGCTGACAACAAAGAGGCACTTCTCTAAAGCATTGTGGATGCTTGTCAGACCTCCCGCAACTACCCTGGCATCTCTGAATGGATGTGGTGGTCCATGATGAGACTTGTTAATGCATACATTGCATCTAACAGAGGACATTCTAACAATGTATTATAAATGTCCTCTTTCTGCTATAAATCACAAATTAACTGTTTGAGGCCATGCTGATATGGACATTTTTTCTTGCTTTGTTATGTGGAACTTGTGCCCAGAGTTTGTCTGCACTTTTATATTATACCCTGTACGTTTTGACTTATCCGTAACTTCATTAACACAACAATTTTATGCATTTAGTTCCAACACCCAAATTTGTTTTCTTGTTTCACACTTCCCTACACCATCTCCGTATATATTGGTGTTCTGAAAATTAGACTGCTCTTCTTTCCTGCTTACTCTTCATTGTAATCATTACAACACTACATAAAAGAGGTAAAGTTGTCTCTGTGCTTAACTAATTAAGCACTATGCCAAGGTGTATGGGAGAGTGGGTGCATAGATCGACATTTTCTTGACCTTGGCACTATCTGGAGGTGAGTGGTCAGCTTCACTCCCCAGCAGCTTTACCCCTGGGGAGAGAACCCCCCAGTACCCATTTGACAAGAGGTTGGGTGGACCCCAGAGCCAGTCAGGATGATGTGAAGGAGAGAAAATTCTTGACCCTACTGGGACTCGAACTCTGTCCCCTTGGTCATCCAGCCTGTATTCAGCTTCTATACCGACTACACTAACCCGGTTACATTACATTATGTAAAACAGATAATGTATGCACCTCTAAACTACAAGTGCTTCAATTTTAATTGTGACCCAGTAGTTCCATACTGCTGCTGAAGTAGCTCATATTAAATTCATGAAGTCATTTGTGACTTGCAATTTTCTGTAACTCATCCAAATGTTTGTAGTACAACAACATCAATGAATGCAACGTTTCTTTGCACATTATCGACTTATGGCTCCAACACTGTATGTGCTTTGCAGAAAAAGTTCAGACTGCTAGATGCAAGGCTCTCTTTCTCAGTCAGCAGATGCTGGTATGTATATCAACAAGCAAATTGCATGTACTGGCAAACTTGTCAGAAGGCAAACGTTCCAGCCTGTTGATGCACTATATTACTTGACCTTGAGGATAAAACAGAGCATGCGAGTACTTGCAAATGTGTCTGGAATGGGGGGGGGGGGAAGCACTGGTTTGATGTCACTAAGTAAATAATGCAGCGTGATACTCAGTGATCTCCACAAATAACATGAACATTAAATGTGTCATGTCTGCACATAAACATTACTTTTCAAACAAATATGCAAATTCATAAATGAATTTTTCTAAGATTATTAAATGGTGATACAACTGAGTTTTTTAAAAAGCAGTACAGTAGTAATGCTGTTGTAATTCACTTACAGTATGTAGTTGAATGCAATGTTCTTTGTGACATGGCCATTCTGAAGCATAAGCTGCACATTTTCAGGGCAATCTATGCACACATGATGCCAGAAGAGCAACAGTGCCTGTTTGTTATGATGGACAGGGATTGATGGCTCAGATAGCTTCGGATGGAACAGCTGCCATAAGTCCAAGAAGTGTTGGCCAAACTGCAATCAATAAGGGCAACAATCTATTACAACAGAGCAGAAGATAACAATGTATGAGCCTGCAAAAGGAGGTAATTAAGAGGAAAGGAGAGACAGAAAATAAGACACAATAGGGTACAAAAAGTGACTGGTTGAAAATGTAATGAAATCGGGATTTGTACTGGAATAAATCTACTTTGTACATTAATTCATGCTGTCGTTAGACATTTAATTTTGTTCATTCGGGTACATTATTACAATTGTCTTCTTCTAACTGCTTCCTTTTCCTGCACTCTCTCATACATGCAGTACGACTGTTACCAGGTGGTGCTGTTTTAATTTCTTGAGATTTGCATTGTCTGTAATTATGCATGTATTCAAAGCACAAGTTTTTATGTGTTTCTCTATATTCCCACTGTCGTTCACCATTTAACTTTGCTTGTTTGGGTACATTATTATGATTATCTACTTCTAACTCCTTCCTTTTCCTTTACAGTCATATATGCAGCACAACCATTACCAGCGGACCTCTTAAGTGCGTATTAGTGCGAATTAGCCGTATACATCACATTTATTACTGTATTTCATTTGTATTTATAAGGTTCCAGCACTAACCACACAGAAAACACTGTTCCGTGTTGATTCACTGAAGTGGTAACGCGTTAAATTGCCGTTGCCTAGAAATGTACCAACAATTACAAACTGTTACAGATTTCATTATTTACATTACAAATTCTGTTACTAATGGTTTCATTCCATTTGTACCCTCCTAAATTAACGTTTTCAATATTGAAAGAAAGAAGGAAACATGCGAACAAACAAAATGAGATGGAAGATTAATTCTGTTTTGTTGGAGTTGAGGTTGTCACGGCGTTAACTATGAAGACTACAGCCTTCTGTGTTGAACTCCACACAGTCTGGACAGGGTCTTACATTTCAGAGGAACATACTGCCTCTTCAGTTACCCATGTTCAGGGATGGGTAACTGAAGCCATAAACCAGCAAGGACCAGGCCATAAACTCAGCTTGCCCAGAACATCATATTCTTTATTAATTTTGTTGCTGAGTAAAGACCTATGACTGAAGTCACTCCTCCTCTTGATTCCTTCTGCAATAATGCAATAATGAACACTTTCATGATTAGTTCTGACGTGGGGAAGAAAACTAATAATTAAACTGTTCATGACAATGTCACAGATTCACTGCACTTGGAAAGCATCGGGTTCTGAGGTCTTCTGGCCAGATTTTGGCTTAATACTATGAGGCCTTCATCAACAGACAGGGGTAAACTTCCTTCAAAACATGACACTTTAGGCTAAATTGTTGGTATACTCAATTCATGAAATCAAAATACCTATCATGCAGGAGAAGCATATACAATTTCAATTGTGTGTCAAACATGTTTGCCATAACCCGTGAGAAATACACCATACAGAGATACACATGGTTGACATAAATAATAAAGGGTAACATACTGTCTTTTGAGATGTGACTCTTTTTAGTCTCATAGACTATTAACGTTTCGGACGAACCCATGCATTTCATCCTCAGGGCAGACACCCAGCATCACATTCCTGAAGACAGATATCTTCACTCGCCATAGTGAAAACCTCAAATCTTGCTTCACACATACAATGCAAATCCAATTTAAGGGTTTCTTTGAAACCGATGGATTTGACCACTAAACTGAAGAAAGCTTTAAATAGAGCAACATTAAACGGGAAAGTTCCAGTGTTTTAAAGAAATAAATATAGTGGAACCCTCATTTATGCTCCTCAACTTAAAGCTTTCCTTGAGATAACGTTTGACTTCAATGATCTCACTGTTAATTTACCTTCAATTTAAGATTTTCAACGGTTCAGTGATCAAATCTGCTGCACTCAAAGGAACACTTGAATGAACACCAGTGGGAACCAGAACATGAGTGCTATATTTTGGACCTCATGCGATACACCTTCCTAAGCTGATGAACACATGATATGGATACTTACCATGAGTTTCTCAGTGCGAGAGATGACACAGTATGTAAGAAGAGCGAAGTATGCAGTGAGTTTCATTGTACCATGAGTCTGAATGTCAGTGTAGTGTCGTGCCCGTTTCAACAAGTGCAAGAGGACAGTGTACACTTGATGGAGCACTAGTTGGGCTTCTGATGCAATCAGCATTTCCTTATGTGGGCTGGTAAGGGTGCGGGCTGTTCGATATCCTTGCCTGAAGTGTGGGCTCGGGATAAGAGAAACCAGAAGGTATGCTGCAGCTGAAAAGGTTAAAACTAAAGTTAGCAATACGAATCATAAGCATGATGTCAAGTACAGGAAGTCTTTGAAATGTGTACCATAAACACAGGTTCAAAAATACATCCTAACTTTACTAAAAGTAGTTAATTAACTTGTTTTTGGACTTCCAATAATTAATCGGCTGGACACAAAAATCCCCAGTGTTATGGAACCCAATCATTCATCATTATGTTCACATAAGTCACACCACTAACCAATCCTGAATCTTTACAATATGGATGGAAAGGCCAGAACAGTGGAGCCAGAAGAGATACCCATTGCTAGGGAACAGCTTTGCAAACACATTTCCATGACAACCGAGTCAGGTGACCACAGCAAGAGTAGAGGTACTGCTGGAGGCAGTGTTCTCTGTCGAGTCCATGCAGAGGGGAGATCTAATTCAACTGCACTTTAGAAGGCAAAGACACACATGGAGCCATGGGAAATGCAAGATAGTTGCTGGCTAGTGAAGACAGCTGTTGAACCTGGAAGCTGTGGAATCTACAAAGTTGGGAGCCATTACTAAGTAACAGCTGGTGAAGAGACAGCCAACTGAGAAAACTCAGTTTGTGCCATAGTGAATTGTAAAGAGTGAATTAGTCAGAGTGTTATAATTACTTGTAGTTAAAGTTATACATGTTCAACAAATCCAATTACCAACCCAAACCCAGTGTCTAGTCATTAAGATGTGACAATATTGTTCCCCAAGATACATTTTAATATTATTCTCCCATCTAAGTCTTGGTCACTCAAGAGTTCTCTTCCATAGATATTTTGCAAACGATATTTCTTATGCATTTCTTGTCTCCAACAACACTGACACATATCTCAACCATCTCACCATTCTTGATTTAATCTATAAAAAAAGAGGCACAGAGTACAAAATGAGAAGCCCCTGAAATTTTCTCTACTCTCCTGCTACATGTGTCTCAGATCTGAATATCTGGCACCCTCTATTTAATATGTTCTTCCTTTAGGTTAAGCAATCAAGTTTCACACCAATAGAACTGTAAAATGACATCCTCGTATATTTTCAGCTTTAGGTCTTTAGAAAGGAGAGATCATGATAGCAGATCCTAAAGTGAATGTTAGCAAGCACTTCCCAAATGTACCTCGTGGAGAGATAACTCCAGGAAAATTGTTAATCTTGCTCTCAAATGTATGGGTCTGAGTCGAAATCAATTTATTTCCTCATTCTCCATTTCATAAGAAAACCAATGGGACCATAATGACAACAAGAATGTAAACTCTTATGGGACTCTTTATTACAGCTCGTGACACATGCACACACTAGCGTCCACAGTCACGTTTTCACTGGTCATTGCTTGATAGTGGCCTCCATTGGCAGACATTCCCCTTCCTGTGGGTTCCTGAACTGTCCCCAGCCTCAGCTACTGGCTCTAAGAGCAACAGCTCACAATGACTGAACCACGGCAGTTCTCTAACTCACTAACTGCAACAGCTAACTGGCCTTGCTTATAACATCTTAGAACAGACTGCACAGAAAATGTCTCTTGCATTATTGCTGTGAAAACATGATCGTATGTTAAGCTGTTACCTAGAAACAACCGTTATATAGTTGCTTATTTTGCAGTCGTTGCCTAGCAATGGGACTACATTCCACAGTATTTACACTAGATTATAGTATGATGTATTTTTATTTGTTGTAACATATCTCAGTTGCATGTTAGGGTTGTTATTAACAGTGTACAATTTTGTGCATGTGAAATTCCAAACACACTGTTCTAGTGCAGGAATACAATCTTGTTTATATGGCCTGCCACACAAAAATTCTGTTCTACAGGCTACAAAAAATACATGAGTCTAAGAACCTATATTGTGACATGTTGCGCAAAGCCGAGCCCCCCCCCACACCAGCAGTGACGCGGCGGGTGAGTCAGCGCTCCCCTCCCACCCCTCAGCGGTAACGTAACGCTCGCGTAATAGGCGAGTAATCACCCCGCATCCTGGCAGCTATGCGCGGTGACGTCACGAGCGGAGCCGAAGATAGCCGAGCCCCGTAACCGGGTAACTATGCAAGGCGAATCAACAGCGGTGACGTAACAGGATGACGTGGCACTCATTACGCAACAAGCAAGCACTGCAGCTATATAAGTGAGCTGCACAGCTGGTACCAGTCCAGTTCTAATGTGAGGACCAGCGAGTTATAAAGTAACAGTCGCCGAGTGTGTTATCAGCAGTTCTCCAGTCAGCCGACTACTGTTGGAGTATAGCAGCCGTCGCGGAAAGAAGAACCGGACGTGTGAGTGATTGTGTAATTGGGAGCGTGTGATACAGTGATACATAGCTCCCCTACTGTAAACGTGCAGACTACTGAAGGCAGAGTGAACTGATTTGCGCATAGGGTTATAAAGTGTGAAACCCCGCAACAGTGTTAACAGATTAATGCGATTAGGGTTATAAAGTGTGAAACCCCGCAACTGTGTGTTAATTAATTGTAGCCGTTACTTGTAGATTGTTGAATAAACCAATTAACGATCTCTACGGCGTCTTCAGTAACGCAAACACATTACAATATGTTAAATGACAGCAGCATAATGAGCAACAAAAATGTCTCCCAAAATGACAGTGCACACTTTTCTCCATTACCATGCTTGTATGTCTGCTTCTGTTCAGGTATAAAGACTCAGAAATGGCAAACATACTCACATTAAAACCACACATTTCTGAAGCAGAAGTTATGTTATAATTTCACTCGAATCAATCTCCACTGGACAGAGAACTCACCTGATCGTACCCGTTGGTTATTATGAGCCAACAGGTAATGTTCCACCCATGTGTCCATGCTCTGGAGTACCCATGAGTGAGCGAGTTTATTGCGAGGTACTTGTACTGCCAACCAATCAAGTGCACTCTGGGGACAGAAATCTGCAACCTCCCATATTCCCTGAAGAACCAGCTGGGAGAAACATGGTAGACCAGATGGACCACTGGCAGACTCTGTGATTAGAGTCAGCAACTTGAAGAATGGCTGGCAGATCTGTTAAGTGAGAAGAAATATTTCACGACTGAGTCAGTTATTCAACCCAGTGTTCCTCACACTTCTCCACATGACATCATATTAAGGAACCCATAAGTGCATTAATGTGACATCAAATCATGCGCAATTATGGACTTGTGTATGATTGTGTATGCATGCATAAAGATCATACTACCAGTCATATTTCTTTCAGCATTTATTTATATTTTTTTGTAAGATGCTTTAAAGTTCCTAGAAAAATGTAATAAAGTGAAAGAGTCTTTGTACTCAATAATAAGTGACAGTGAAATTTTCAATATTAAAAACAGTTTACTACAAAAACTACGATCACGAATTGTTAGGTCTGAAATATATATGGAGAAAAAAAGCAGTCAGTATGGCAGCCTTAGACTTTACTGAAATAAGTTACACAGTTGACATATTCGGTGAAACTGTAATTTCAAAGCGTTCCTCAACAGCTATGATGAATCACTAGTAGATCAATGACAAGCTTATCAGTGGAAAATGTAATCAGAGATGGGAATTATCACAGTTTCACACTGGATGTTTAACAGGTATTTCACTAGGTAGAAGACAGCACAAAATATTTTTTTTTTTGAGATTATAAAATATACTATCATATACTAAAAGCATAAACATTGACATAAAAACATTATTTATCATAGTAGCAACAATTTAACATAAGAGCAGTATCACAAGTGATGAACACTGAACATAATCCCATTGCTACTGTGAACTATGGGCACACTTACAACTGTCATGGCACACAGTTGAGAAACAATCTCAACATTCATATCCGAGGACCAATGGATTTGAATGCTAAAGCCAGCCTTAAATGGATGTCACTTTAACACTGAGGTTACCGACTTGAGTTCACTGAAACTGAAAGCTAAAAGAGGGAAAAACTGAGGAACAACAAATGCAGATACTGATGTACTCAGGAAAGTAATCTATGCTTAGGGCTGATAGCCAAAGATAATTTTTTGACCTGTCTGTATAGTGGTGGTGGGGGACTTGCTTTGCTATATGCTAATTCATTAATTATGTCAGCAACATTGTTCACATGATCTTGCTAGAATATAAATAATCCATCCTTCAGTGGTAATGCATGAGGTCCACCAGCATCAACACTCTACTCTCTGCAGAAATGAGAGATTAAGATCAGTTACCACTGCATCTTGTCTGCAGTCCATTATTACGACTTCCACATACTCTACCTCACACCTGATTATGGGATATGAAAACACAGAAACCAACAAAATGATCCACACTTGCGACACCAATTCTTTGAGTGTACTTACTTCTGTGTGTTTTGTAATAGCCTGAAATATCATTGCTACAATGTGCACGGCCAGCCTCTCATTCCAGCGGCACAGTGCATATATTAGGTTCCTAGTCTGGTGTAAGTTGATGCAGTCTTTGATTTGTTGGAAGAGAAATGGGAATCCCTGCAACAATTAAACAATATTAAATAAGCACTGACACAAAAGCAAAATCCTGGAAATCCACACATGTTTATGAATAGTACATAAAAACATTTTTTCAGAAAGTATGTGCAAACACTGGGTGTAGTTATTTTCTTAAGTCATTATCCTAAAGTAAAAAATTTTGAACAAGAAGTTCTAGGAAGGACTAGCTAATCACCTGCTTTCTTTTGATAAGAAATTAATCGCACAGAAAATGACATGTCCAACAATTCTTCTATGTTGCACATGTTTGTTGCAGCGGTAACAACATTACCAAGCTGCTGCCTAGCAACGATATGAGGGATACACTTTATTGAGCCTTTGTCCAGCAACAATAGGAGGGCTGCACATACAGTCATGCAGACTGATAGGAGGGATTTATGAAGTACGCCATTCAGATGTGCCCAGTTGCCATGATATATATATATATATATATCTAAAGATCTGTTCTTCCATTCAAAAGTTAATGGGGGGGGGGTGGGGGTCACAGAGAGACAGCGTGGAGATCATAAAAGCCTACTTTAGGCATGTAGGCTAAAAACTGTCATACTGAAGAAGACGCGCAACAGCAAGGTTCATGACTGCTTTCCCAACAAAAGAACCATTTTACATACTAGGCAAGTAATTCAATACTGTGTAGGATTTGAGGTTCTCACAGTGGTGGCTTTGAAGAGTTGTATCTTCTGTATATAATGGCATGATGTTCACTGAAAGTCTACCAATTTTTTTGGAGGAACATGTCACCTCCATCTTCAAGGTCAAAGAATGAGCCATGCAGGAAACCAGCATGGCATTATAACCCAGAAGATAGAACTCTTTAATTCTGTACTGCTTGGTAAGGAATCATTTTTACTCTGGGACCTGACGGGATTATTTTAAAGTCCTATGTGATGAAGAGTCTCACAAGACTTCTTGACACACAATGAGAGCAAAGTTCTTTTTCTATGAGTTTGATACATTTTTAATATCATTATGTAACGGAACTATATGCACCTAGCATATGGACCAGCCAGACCTGCAATTTAACAGCCCTATGCATGCCTGAGTGTACTAGTAGAGGTTAAAATTAGTGAACAGATCTCAGGATCTACTGCTGATTGTCTTAGGTAACACAAGAGGAGTCGCGGGACACTTCCTGATCCCAACCACAGCAGCTGTACTGTGATGCGAGATAGGCACAACACACACTGCATAACAGACATATCATAACAACGCATGAGGAGGAAGTGTTAGGGAGAACATTTGGACCTAACAGATAGGAAGTGAAGCAAGAAGAAAAATTCATAATGAGGAACCTCGTAATCTATACCCATAACCAATATTATAATGACCACCAAGCTGGCTTCTGACTGGTATTTAGGAGGTATCCACTTGAAATCTCAGCCAAGGCACTGAGTACTTGGCTGAGATGCTCCGTGGTTTTCTCTCACACTTACCAGGCAAACGCCAGGACAGAACTCTAAGCTAGGAATGACTACTCTTCTATATCCTTTCCAATTCCTTATTCACTTATAACCTATATAACTCTTTATTGGCCATCAAAACACAACAAACAGAAAAAATCAAGGTCAGTGCCCAGCTATGATCCAGCCACTAACGGCCATCATCAGGCAAACACATATTAACAGACATATACCATTGAACTGCAGTACAATAGATTGGATACAATGTTATTAATCATTTAAAATACTTTGCGTAAAAATACAATAAGTCAGAGTATATAAAAACTAAAAGTTATTGTATAAAACAAGATAAGATTGCTGTTATATAACATCGAATCAGTCGTTCATATTTTACTTTTCATACATTTCCATGGACAAATTGGAAATTCGATATTTCCTTTATATAAGACTGCATAGGAGGCCCATGATGTTGCAAATTAATTAATTGTATAGTTGGTGCCTCATCTTACGAAGAATTGTCCGTACTGTATGGAAAGTAAACGACGACTTGTTGGATCATTGAAAATGAACATTAAATGAGGGGAAACCTTAAATTGAAAACATCAAATGGGAGTTTCACTGCTTGCAAAAGTAAAGCAGTAAGTATTTATATTGAAGAATGGAGCAGAACTTGCCTTTCCTCCAGCAATTGCATTGAAGTCCTGAGTTGACAACTGCAGAAGGTGATCAGGACCCCGTGATTTCTCAACCAAGGAAGCTACTAACGTGATCATTTTCTCTAAAGATGCAGGTTTATATTTATCTGTGGGCAGTGGAATTACATCTTCTTCCTCATCTTCCTCACTCACAACCTCCACCTGCAAAGACATGCCAGCAGTCCTCAAGTGTTGAAGTAAAAGAATGTTAACCAGCAGATTACATACTACTAAAGACAATGGTTGGATAATATCCATAAATCCTTTCTTGCTGATGTTACATACCTGTTGTAAATTCTGTACTGTAGCATACGGTTGGATTTGGTTTCAACTGGATANATTTTTTGGGGGGGGGGGGGTTATTAGACAGGTTTTGGCTCGGATGATTGAATTCATTGACACCTTATATGCTCAACTCATAACTATAAGTAATACAGCACCATTGCCAATCTCTGATTATTACAAATCACTAGAACATGCTAAGTCTTCTCAATCTTCACTAGCTGTATCCTGGCAATGTATTTATAACAGTCTCACTGTCACTGCAGCACACTATGAAGTCCTTTTGCACCGCCTAATTCCATTCTTGCCATTTCTTCTCGGCCATTCTGCCAACTGCCAACTCCGGAGACTCTCTCAATTCTCTGCTGCAACTGCCATCTCCGGAACTCAAATGACTCAAACAACCTTTCTTGTCCTTTTATAACCTCTCTGCACAGACCACACAGAAAATACAGCTCTTCTACTGTTGCATGTACTTGTTTATATGGAAATATGTTTGCTCAATTGATCCATAGCAACAGCATGTACATGTCACATCTCGCATCGTGACACCTCCTCTACTGTTGCGTGGGGGCATTACCTAGCAACAGCTGTTTCCCTGCCTCCACAGTTCTTGCTTTGAACAAATATGCCACACCTGTATGCAACATACTGGTGGTGTTAAGCTTTTAATTAGTTATCAGTCAATCATAAAGTCACTACCATGCTCATAGCATGATATGACATATGTTGACTACTATGTAGTCATCTCCAGGGGGCTACATGCATTGTATGTCCTGCTCTGTAGGTTGGCATACTGTTACTTGTATCATCATCTTGATAAAAAGAGATATTGTATTACTTAGAACACAGTTCACAGATTTTTCCTCATAGAAAAACTGAGGTGTCTTAAATTTTAGGAATTATTCACCAGTTTGCAAACTGTACACAGGGTAGCCTGAAAAGAACCTAATGTAAGCACATTCAGAGTGAGACACCAAGGCACATCATCCACCCACCTTTAACTGAGACAACCCCAAAATTTCAGTTCAATCATTGCTCGACATTCTTATCATTCAAGCGTGTTCAATTTTCTACCAGTTTCTAAAAATGGAAAAGCTTTTATATATGATGCCACATTCAAAAGCAAAGATATTCTGTGCACTGAAAAGACAGGTAATCGTGCAGCTGGTATAAAGTGTACAGTTTGATATGTGCATGTCACTGGGGAAGTACAGAAACAAAACTGTTATCATGTGTGACAAATACCGGTAGAATGACTTTTTCTGGACAAAGGAAAGACAAAGAACCTGAGACTGCCTCTGTTTTAGAGTATTTAAAATATTTACGAAATAAAGAATTATCTGTAACTAAGGAAACCTTAATGTCAAAAGAAAGAAAATTGCTAGAAAGAGTAATATATCTTTTAAGGCACGTCACGGATGGTGTGAGAAGTTCATGGAGAAAGCTTATCATTAAAACAAAGGACAAAAATTAATAACACATTTCCTTTGGAATTGAAACTAAACTGACTGAATGTCAGCAGTTTGTTATTCAACTACGCAAAAGGTGTAAGTATTCTTTAAGTCTAATCAGAAATGCAGACAAAATTGCAGTTTTTTGTCATGCCTTGCGATTATAAAAGTTATGTGCTACTGTCAGGGAGCATGTGGTAGTGTACTTGGTTGAGGCACTATGCTACAAGCCAGAAGGTTCAGGTCCCGATGAGGTCATTCGAATTCTTCAATTGATCTAACCCTTCCGGCCACACTATGGCCCTGGGGTCGACTCAGCCTCTAACAAAAATGAGTACCAGGAACTAATCAAATAATTTTCATGGGGAGTAAAGCACAGCCAGCACGTAAGGCTGACAACCTTACCGCCATCTTTGAGCTGATTGTCTAGATAATGTGGGACCCTCAATGTCTCACAACCCTATGGGCCTTCATGGCCTGTTACAGGGATAGCTTTACTTTACTTTTTACATGCTACTGTCATGCTGTGTATAACCACAAATGACAATAAATTACCACCATTTATAATATTAAACAGAAAGACAGTGCCAAAAGAATTATTTTTGCAAAGATGTAATAGTTCGGGCCCCAAAAAATGCACGGATGACATTGGAGTTAATGGAAGACTGGCTTGGATGCATATGGGAATGTCAGCCACAGAGCATAATTGCAATGGATGCATTACATGGCAATATCTCAAACAGAATCAGAAACAAGCTGAGAAACAAAAACACTGATCTAGTGATAATTCCTAGTGGCATGAGAAGTCAATTACATCCATTTGATGTGTCAATAAACAAACCATTCAAGCACCTTGCCCATGAACACTATGATGCCTGGCAGAGTTAAGACAATCATATACTGACACCTAGTGGCAAAATAAAAAGAACATCAGTGCATCAATAATGATAGAAGGTATATCGAAAGATTGGAAAGAACTTCCAGTTAATATTATTCCAAAATAATTTATGAAGTGAAGTTTGTGTAATGTGGAAGATGGAACCTAAGACGAAATTCTTTGGGACAACAGTGAACTGTTGTGCAGCTGGAGGATCACTGGACAAAGTTTCTGATTAAATAAAATAGGTAAAAAGGAGTGTGCATGTAGTGCAAATTTTAAATTTCCATCACTTTTCACTTTACATGTGTTACAGGCTTGAACATCTGTCTGCGTTCATTCCGTGTTTATGTTGTCCTATGTAGGTAGTGGCTTTACAATGGGCCGATACCCCATAGACAAAGTCCTACAAACTGTCTATAAAATTAAGAAACTGAAGTGAACTGACATTTCACAGGTGCCCCATGCTCCTGAGGGAGCAACAGGAATTTATAATAATAAATAATAATAACAATAAAATGTACTTTCATTGTCACTGAAATGATACTACCTATTAGTCCCTTCTTTACAATACCAAAGCCACATATATGAGTGTGCAATGTGACAGTGGTTATACATTTATTGCTGATGGTTTACTATCAGTAAAACAAAATTCCTTACATAGTCCTGTGCTTTCTGCCCTAGATAGAAGCTGACCATTGAAGAGATGGCATGAACAGAAATAAGGAACTGGCTCTCCTCTTCCCCCATTTTGCTGAACTCGTTAAGGAAGGCGAAGTATTCTGTAAGATGTTTCAAGTGAGCTTTGGCACCATGTTCCATCTGAAACATTTAAAAAATCTGTTACAAATCTGAGAAGCTTCAAAGCAATATCCAACTGCTCCAAGTAAGAGACGCTGACAGCATGACCTGCGCACGTGTGTCGTGTTCACCATCCTGAGGCAGAATGTCAAGCATTTCAGAACATAAGAACAGATTACAGGGTGTGAAATTAGAGCACTAAGTGGGATTTGAGGTTCTTATATCTGTGACTATGAAGAGTTCTGAGTTCTTGGACAAGTGATCGAGGCTAGCTCTTTCTAAGGGACCCAGCAGAATAGGTGTTTTCCCTCACCTGAGGACGGAAACAGATCCAGTTTCTGAAATGTCATGTTTTTCTTAGTTATCTTAAAAACCAGGATGATGGATAAAGTCCAAAAACCCAATATCTCTGTGACATATAGTGTTATTCACTGCAACAGGCTACCAATTAATTTATTTTTCTTACCAAAGAAAGCAACATCTTGATGAACATTGTAACACAAGAATGTGTCCCAATCTTCCTAGGATCCGGCTCTTCTGACCCTTCATCATCAGAATCCACCTTCAAATAGAGTGGTGCATGGTTCTGCCTACAACCAAAAAGCACCAATGATACGATACTGCAACGAATTAAACCCATTTCCACAGGGCAAACAGAAAACTGACAGCCCAGTAACCTACATTTGAACTGAACTGGTGGCCACATACTTCCAAGCAAAACTAAGACAAGTTAAGATGTAGTCTTTATTAACAGTAGCATCACAATCTAATAGTACATGTTTCTGATAAACTTAGTTCCTTCACAATACTTTTCTGTTCTCAGGATTCTTATAACTGCTGTCTAACGTTTCCATACAAATACATATGTTCCTTGACTTGCAACATTCAAGCATAAAATTAGATACCACACTGAATCGGTATCATGTCAATCTTTCATCGATGACTACAATATAGCTAAATGGCATAAATATGAAGAAATTAAAATTATGTATCATCATCGCAGTGTAATTTTTTTATTTCTTGATATTAACACAATTTTATAGCGGCCTCCGTAGTCTAGAGGTAACGTTCCCACCTCATGACTTGTAGTACATGGGTTCAAATACCCGGCGGAGGTTGTCGAATTTTTAAGGGTGGAAAAATTCAGGGAACAAGTCCTCCGGGAGGGACTTTGAGCCGTGGGTCCCGTGTCGTAGCTTTACGGCATGTAAAAGAACCTCATATCTCCAAAGGAGGTCACTGAGCCAAATTACGGATGTTTCCCGCCCAACAGCAGTCTCTAATACCTCTGGTAGATGGGGGAAGCATTATAGATACCTCTCAGCTAGCAGAGCCGGTCTCGCTGGCTGGGCGGGACTGATGGTAAGCACCAGTACCGGTAGGATATAGAGACTGGTAGAAATCATAGAGGGAAGCACAATGGACCAATACAGGTCTAAGTGCATGGGGAAACCCACCCTCTCCAATAACTAACTAACAAACACAATTTTATAGTGTTTTAGTTAATAATGATAAAATCAGGGAGACAAACATTCTTACATAAATTATTTTTGTAGTCTGATTTTCTGTGACTTGTATCTAAGGCGTAATTTTGGATTTTGGAGGAAGGCATTAAGTTGTTCCAACATTTCGGCTTGGCTAAACCCCTATCCGAAAATACATATTAAATGACATAATTTTTATTTCATACTAGATATGACTGTTCAAATTCATGGAACAGTATGTGTTTGAATGGACAGAAATCCTCAGAGAGGAACATGAGTATGAGCCTCATGATGACCCGAGGACACAAACATGTGTGTCAGTAACTGCTGTTAGGTACTTAAAGAATTAATAAACAATACGAATTATAACCTGGAATGAGTAAAATTCAAAAGGATAATCTAACCATACTAGTTTACTAACAGGCGGGCAGATATTTAAGGGGAAGTAAGAAATGAGCAGAAAAGTATATTCTAATTGGTCGTATACATTTTAAAAATTAGTTCCTCACAATAATGCATATCTGACTGACCTTGATGTTCATTTATTACAATTACAAATCCATTATGATAACATTTTTAAACAGATTATTTTATTAAGGCATATATTTTTATCACTGCATTTTGTTTCACAATATACTGGAAAATGTTTAAAATAAAAGTTGTAGATCTCAATGAGCTACATGTGTTATGTCAGTTCTAANTTAACGTTTGACAATGTATATGATAGATACATATTTTAGTTATTTTAATGTGTGAACATGGCATGCAATGAACTGGTTTGACGTGGATAAGTAAGCACCTGAAGATGGCATTATTATGCCGAAACATGTAGTGCGAGGGAGAGAAGGAAATAAATGAGTGTATGCACTGCAAGACGGATTAAATAAATCATGCACTTAAATCAGTGCAACAGGACGCTAAAATATAACATAAGTTTAAATAACTGGAAATCTAATTAAGACTTTTATTTTTTCATTCCTTTATTTAAGTTTATTAAAAATGTACTCAGTTTTTATTTTCAGAAAAGTTCAAGTATCACAGTATCAGGCTCTGTATTCCATTTGACTGACAACTAACTCCGAGGAACAGTCCATGAGACACCAACAGTCACTAAGCCTGCACATTCAGTACAATGTTCATAAGAGCCAGTCTTCATTCCCATCCTAAACCAGATGAACCCAGTCCACAATTTACCATCAGATGTCTTTAATTTCATGAATTAACATTTTGTAATATACTGGTCTTCTTATGGTGATGAGTTGTTAGCCTCCTTGCCCAAATCCCACTCTGGAGGAACACCTGTGGGAGCCACCCACACTGAATCAAGCGCTAGCCAATGAGCGTGGACCATGGCAGCTCCAACACCCACTGGTTGGTGTGCCACTAGTGACAACAAACCTCTCACATGCTAGTCATCAATTAAAGTTTAGAAAACATCCACTGCTACACAATGGCTCAGTAATCAGGTATCCGTGGAAACAGATTGGTACCACATGGTAATGGAACTGCAGAAGCAGTGACCTCTCTTCAGTCGGCACCTAAGCTACATAGCATGAACCAACTGACCCATGTGGAGGCAGGGTCGAGTACCTCCACTGCAGCCCTGCAGGTTATACGAGGCACTGAGAAGGAAAGTCTCGAATCTGAGACAGTAAAATAAGGTCATCAGTCCCAAGGGACTCTGGCCCAACAATGCATGCACTGGTGAGGGTCAGCAACAACGGTAAATGACAGACCCGTCCTCTTGTCAGAGAGTGCGCCCCACATCAACAAACCTGCAACTGTCTGACAGTAAAAAAATTCTGGTTGTTAGCCCCAGATTGGGTGTTTTATTCCAAGACAGAGTGGCTGACTGACCATTGGTTGTAACATAAGGCTCGACTCGATACAAAAAGAGGAAGATATGTGAAAGAATACAATGAGAAGACAGTACAGAAGTGGAGGAATTTCGATCATCCAGACAGCTATTACGCAATGACTAGTGAAGGCACAACAGACTGGAATACTGAGTGTGTACTTTAGTTGTTCATTGACAATCCCATACACCCTTTGTCAGCTATTCACAAATGCTCCTTCACTATATTTGATACAGACCAGATTAAAATTCAACTATAAGATTTGTGTGTGGGATGACACCAAATTTCATTTAGTTTCACAAAGTGATTTCAGAGATGCTGATGAGTGGATATGATCAACCCATAATGCAGTAACTGTATGTGTTCTGTTCAAAGATTGTACAAAAACTTCAAACTGAGCTAAAGAGTTAAGGAAAAGCTACCAGCTAACAATGAACATAAAAGACCTTTTCATCAATGTCTTCTGGGAACTTATCGTAAAGTGATGATTCACAACCTTTAGTTCCTGGAGTCCTAAAGTCAGCACTAACATAATTTCCTGGATAGCAGGTTCTAAATTTCAGTATTATTCAGCATAAAAAAAATAAATGAAATCTTATACTGGAACTACAGTCAAATCCCTATTAAAGGTTTCACTGATGGACAATGGTTTTGAACATGAAAATGTAGAAAACCTTATGTGAAGAGAATTTATGTTATCAACCAAAATTCTGTATGCATTTCCCAAAACATCCATTCATCTTTTATGTTTTAAATTACCTTAATAATATTATGTAAAGAACATAAATTAAGAAGGCTTTGAGATTCTCCAGTTTCCAGGCTGAAGAGTAAGGCAGGCAAGCAACCACCATGCAGAACAGTTCTGTTTGCTTCTTACTTGTTTGGCTTACTCTTCAACCCTGAAAACAGAGGCATTACATCCCTCTGGAACACCACACCATCACATCCCAGAAGACCGATATTTGTACCATCAACCTTCTGAATACAAGATAGAAGTATGACTGCTGAGCCATGTAACATATTATACTTATATATTACACTCACCTGCAGATTCACAGGTGTTGCAGAGAAATATTTTCAGAGATTACAAAGTTCTTCAATATACAATTTTATCTGTCATCCTTTTACTTCGTCTTTCTTACGTACAAGCATTTTATTTTAAAACATACGTATAAAGCAAGAGGTCTTTAATATATAATTTTATTCCCTTATATTGATATTGACATAATAAAAAAGAAAATATGATTACTGACCGTAACCTCTGAATAACATGAATGCAGAGTCTTTGGAACATCTGACGAACCATCTGATTTGGGCATTTAATCAGAATTTGCACTGGCCACCATTCATTGTGTGCCATGTGATCCAAGAACCACTCACAAGCTGCCTGTGAGGCATTGAACTGCTTTGTCAGCAGCTCCACCCACTGTACCATGGTTGGCTGAAAGATCATGTCATGGCTGTAGAAATGTAACTTCACTCTACAATTATACAGCATCAAATGACATAATTATTGAATAACAAACAAAAAAAGATGTTGGAGTGGCCTAATCTGAGGTACTATTCTTACAATTGCCTGGAGCAACTAAGGAAAACCTATAAACACCTGTCAGGGTAGTCAGTATCTGGCCAATATTTGTACCATGTACCTTCTGAAGACAAGTCAGATGTATGACTGCTGATCCATTTAACATATTACAAATTACATTCACCTACTGATTCACAGCTGCTTCAGAGAAATATTTTTATGTTTGCATTACTTATGACACAGTCAGTGGGTGAGCATATTTTCAGAGGCCTGGTTGCATGTTTTTCTCAAAACCAAGTTCACTTCCTTGCTTCTTTACTTGTTTCAAATGAATGTGTGTGCATGTGCATACACACGCATGAATGTATGCTGAGGGTTCTGATGTTTGTGCCTCATTAGACCAGCTTACCACCATTTAAATACTCCATAAGGAAAATAAAGTTACTTTATAGAGTGTTCTTGGGATGTCTGTAAAGTCAGCATTCCATGCACAAGACAAATGTGAATAATATCAGAATTTAGACTGCAATAATTTTTAAGAGTACTGGATTGACGCTGGTAAGGAGGTTGGTCTATATGTAAACATGGACACAACTAAGTATATGTTGCTGTCTCGTCACCGGAATGCAGTGCAAAATCATGACATAAAAGACAGCTAACAGATGTTTTGAAAATGTAGCACAGTTCCAATTATAAAAATCAAAACTTCATTGAGGAGGAAATTAAGAGGAGACAGAATTCAAGTAATGCTTGCTACCATTCAGTCCAGCGCTTTTTTTCTTCTTGTTTGCTGTCTAAACACATAAAAATTATATATACTCATAAGAGTTTTAACCACCGTCCAGTGTGGCTAATAAAAGTTTAATTTTTCAACCTTTACATGTTTTGGACAAAACGACCAGCTTCAGAAGGATATTATAAAAATTAGAATATACAGAACTATAATTTTACCTGTGGTTCTGTATGGGTGTGAAACTTTGTCTCTGATATTAAGGGAGGAACACAGATTGAGGGTAGTTGAGAACAGGCTGCTGAGGATAATTTTTGGACCACAGAAAGTTAAGTGATGGGAGGTAGAAAGTTGCATAATGAGGAGCTTCATAACTTGCACTCTTCACGAAGTATAATTAGAATGATACAGTCATGGAGGATGAGAAGGCAGGACATGTAGCACAAATTGGAGAGAAGAGGAATGCATATAGGATACTGGTGGGAAAGCCAGAAGGAAAAAGACCACTAGGAAGACCAAGGCATAGGTGGGTGGATAATATTAAAATGGGTCTTAAGAGAGACAGGATGGGATGGTATAGATTGGATTGATCTGGCTCAGGACAGGGACCAATGGAGGATTCTTGTGAACACGACAATGAACCTTCGGGTTCCATAAAATGCTGGGAGGTTCTTGAGTGGTTGCAAAATTGGTAGCTTCTCAAGAAGGGCTCAGCTCCACAAATGAATGAGCGACTGGAATCTGATTGTTTACCTCTACATGCACATTTAAAGCACTTTTACCTTCCTGTATCTGGCCACTCCATGACTGACATTAAGAAAACCAAGAAGACATTTCCAACATATGATTGGGGGAGATGGGGCCAAAGAAAATCGAAACAAATTCTTGTAATATAAATGGCTACTACAAAGTTCTGCCTGACAGCTAACAAAATTACCTCACCCCAAGTTGGTGAGCAATCACTGGTAGTCAGCACTGACACATAATTTAAAACCAACAGAAACCTCTTTAGTGTCAAAATACAATACTGTGTCCATGCACAAGAGCAACATACATGGAATGCAATGACATGATGTTGGTTCCCAGAGCCTTAATATTAAATTCTGTTCCCTGCTTCTAGCTGCCAACTGTACCATCCCAATGCAGACATAATTACTGTTACCTTTTCTTTGGCATGGATGAAAGTCTCTATGAAGAACGATGTTGACAGCTGTGCCGATATTTCTGTGAAGTCCTGACCCTGACTCAGCAGAGTCTGTGGAATGTAGCCACAAACCTGCCACATGAAGCTGTACGCAAAGCGAAAGAACAGTACATGACACTAAAATTCAATTCATTTTTAAAATACAAACAATTTTAATATAATACTTGAACTAAAAAGCATTCTTTTCACTTCATTACTGTATGTCCACATAGCAAGCCTTTTAAAGCAGAAGTCCAGGGAATAACTAGGCAGTTACCACATACAGTGAAATCATTAGTTAAGAAATATCTTTTTATTATACTAAATCAGAGGTTTCACTAAATGGAGGCTATGAAAATAACACCAAGAACTGCTCATATACTTATGGGATTTACATGCCTGTAAATGTCAATTCACTTTGAATATAATGAGACATGATGCCTAAAAGATGGAGCCAGAAGAGGTGGCCACTGCTAAACAGTGGTTTGATAAACATGCTCCCACAGCAACATATTCATATGCAATAACAGGAAAACTGTTGAAGGTAATGTTTTCTATGCAGTCTGCACCAAGGCTACAATGCGTTCAACCAATAAGGAAACTTCACAACACCGCTGGGTGGGAACAACAATCCTCACAGACTGCTTGCTGTAACTGCCAATAGCAGAATGAGTCATTAGCACTGATAAACGCATACCATCAGGTGGTCTGATTTTGTCACTGCAGTAAATCGCATTAATGGTCAGTCTTTGTTAGAGGCGTCAATAGGTGGGTTGACATTTATTCTGAAATAAAGTTCACTATTGAACAGCGTGTGTCCATTGTCAAACTTTTGCAAGGAAAAAGTTACAGAAAATGTACCCATAAGTTTTGTCGTAAGTATTCTGACTCGCCAGCTCCCACAGAGTCGTGTGTATCCAAGCTTGTGAAAAAGTGGCTGGCCACAGGTTCAGTGCGTGACATAAAGAAGCAATCAAAAAGGATTGTGCTGACTGAAGAAAAGGGTCGGGATATTAAGGCATGACTACAGATCACAAAATTTATCAAATTTTGCCTGTATAAAATAACAGTTGTGCATGGGCTGAAACAACCAGATTATGCAGCAAGTATTCATTTTTGCAATTGGCTGCTGTAAAATGTGCACGATGGAATCATGGATAATCAGCTTCTGTTCATGACGGATGAAGCGTGGTTTCATGTCAGTGGCCATGTCAATGCACAAAATGTAAGAGTATGGAGCGATAAAAATTCTCATGCTATACAGCAAGTGCCGTTACATAGTGTAAAGGTGGGAGTGTGGTGTGCTGTAAGTCCGCGCCGAATCAATGGCCCCTTATTTTTTCCATGAAAATGTGAACTCTGACTGCTATGTTAATGATATGCTGAATCTGTTCTTCAGCCAGCTGACTGCTGAAGAAAGACAATGTGGGTATTTTCTACAGCACATACAGCTAATGCCACCCTGGTCACAATATGGGAAGTGTTTGAAGACAGAAAAATCAGCAGAGAACTGTGGCTTCCAGATCCTCGGATCTCAGTTTCTGAAATTTTTATCTTTGGGGAAACCTAAAGGGAAAAGTCTACAAGAACAATCCTAGCAGCACTGAAGCTCTGGAAAATGACATAACATGCAACTTTCTCACAAGCTTGGATACACATGGCTTCGTGGGAACTGGTGAACCAAGTCAAATTTATCAACTGTTGCCTTGAACAGAATCTCACTAAATTGAGGTGCAAGTTCTGGAAGGTTGAAAACTGCTCAGGTTATTAGTTGATCCTGAAGATGGAAGTGATATGTTTCTGACAGTAGACAGTACCCTTGCTAGCAACTTCTGTGAGAACCTCAAATCCTACATATACATGGGTCATTCACTAAAATGAAATTCACTACATATGGGACATTAATACATTGTTCATATTGGGCTTCAGCTGAGACCAGAAAAAATATTCACTAAGCATGGAATTTCACCAAATGGAGTATAGGAGCATTTTCCTAATTCAGCATCTGGAAAATGAGGAGTCATAAAAAAAAAAACCTCTGTGGTTCTATTCTGCAAGCACTCTATACCGACTGAGCGACCGCTGCTTGGCGGCGAAGTTAGTGACAACTACCTCTGGATCTGTAGCCAGGAACTTCTGACCACTAGACCACAGAGGCAGTCACTCTTAATCACAAAACAAAGCAAAATATTTTACAAAGATAAACATTTACATAACCAGTAGCACAGAGTATTAAAATGGTTTCAGTATGGATACCAATGTTATCCATGGTGTAGGAAAGTATAGGTAGTTGAAATGTTTATTTCAGAAGTATATTAAATAGTGACTACAAACAAATTCTGCACTGCATTAAGACGTAAATGATCAGTCGCCTATCTGCAATTGGAACCCAAAGGTTCAATAATGCACTGAGGCAGTTTAACCAAGTTTTCAAAATAAAATATTATTTCTCTTTTGATGCACTTTGATATCCCCTTTTAGTCTTTGTCTTCCAAGTAACTGCATTCCAAAACCAAACTGCATGCAATTCTCAGTTATTCTGTCCCTGATCAATGTCTAGCCCATTTAAGCACTGCACTGTAATGTTAGGGTGATTAAATGGAGTCCAAAGGGCCTACATATGCAGGCAGCCTGAATAGCAAGGTACAATGCAAACCTACGGAAAGAGAACATTCAAAGAACAAAACACAGTCAACACTTAAATGGATCTTGGAGAAAATGACTGTGAACATGTGAACTTGCTAAGGAAGGGATGATAAATCTTTGCAATACATAATAACATGGACTTCATTATAAGTTAACACAGATTTTTTCTTTTTTCTTTTTTTATTGGCACTACGGCCCTCATTTGGGCCTAGGCCTACCTCCATGAAACTCTCCATTTCACTTTGGTTTTACTAGATCTTAAGACATATGGTAGGACTCCTTGGACGGGTGATCAGCTCGTCGTAAGGCCTCTACCTGTACACAAACACAGAAAAACACACACAAACATCCATGCCCTGAGTGAGGTTCGAACGCACGATCCCAGCTTCCGAGAGAGCGAAGACAGTGCATGCCTTAGACCGCTCGGCTACCGTGACCAGCAAGTCAACACAGATTACTGGATGTAAAAATTAATTAAGGTGAGGAATTAAAGAGCATTATACAGTGAGAAACATCTGGTTTAATTAGTATTATTATGATAGTGAAATCAAAGTGATTACAATGGATACATAAGCAGCTCAGACGAGACAAGAAATACGTACAGAATTTTGGTGAGGAAACACATGAAAAGCAGTCATTTAAATAAATAACAAAGAAATCTTAGGATAATATTACAATGGATCTTTCAGAAACAGGTTGTGAGGATGGCTGGTCAATGGAACTGCATTTGAATCTTGTCTGTGTTAATCGTACTGAATCACTGGATGCAACCATTATTAAGTTTATTACTTAAAAGTTTAGCGACTGTTGGCAACTTACTTGAAATATGTGTGCTCAAAGATATTTTTGTCCTTCAGGAAGTGCATATTGTCCTGCCAGATCCAATCCTCAAGCTCCTTACTCAGTTCAAATGTTGGACAGTTCTGCTGCTGCTGTAAGCTAGGACTGGTGTTTGAGCTAGATTTGGGCTCTGGAGAACTTGCTGGAGCAGGAGAGGTAGATTCTGGATCACTAGTATCCTCTTTTGCACCTCGCTGTTCTCCACCACGGCTACACCATTCATAGAATAACATATAGGCGCTGTTTGTCTTCTCGAAGCTGAAGTCCATGAACTTATCCGTTACCGAGTCATACGTTTTACTCTACAGAACAGAACTGATGATCAGACAAGTACTCACTTTATAATACTTACAAGCATTCTACACTAATCACGTTAGGGAACTGCAATTTTTTGCACAGGACACTAATGGATCATTTCATACTCCTTTTGTCTGACTAACATGATCCGATTTATTCTCAGTACCATTATGCACCAAAGTCACTTCACTTTTATGGGATGCTACAACTGTGTTTTGCATTTCCACACTGCAGAATTGAGACCATCTGTTGGTAGGTCCAGCCGAAGTTCAAAAACAGCTGACTACATAAAACAAGTTCACAGCAATGGAAGACAAAGTGTTCCCTGTGCCAAAGCATCATCATGCCATGAAGTATTAGGAATAGTGAAGGTAAATGTCCAAGAATTCATACAAATGGCACTGGATGGAGGTGAGTATTTAGCTTGACATTCCAGCCATTTTATCCCTGGGGAAAGAGATTCCTATATCTATCATACAGGAGAATGAGCTAATGTGGACAGGGTCATGGCCTGCACAAGCCTAAATGACACTCCATACGATGAGACAGTCAATCCCCATTCAGTTCAAAACAGATTAACTTCATCAAAACTTTATTACAATTTATGACAGAACATTCCCTCACAAAAGGAGTCGGGACAGCAAGGTCGCTATAGTGACAGGCTAAGGGCTAGAAGGCCTGGGTTCGATTCCCAGCAGTGCAAGATTTTTCTCTTCTACCCAGCAACCACACTAATTCTGGGGCCCACTGAGTGTCCTATGCAATGGGTACGAGGGGTACAACAGCGGGGCTGTGAAGCCAACCACTCACCTGCGTCTAGAGCTGAGGTCAAGAAAGGTGAAACTATACTTCCACTCCCCCACATGCATAGTGTTTAATTAATTAAGCCCATGAACAACTTTACTCTTTTTAACTTTACATCCTTCACAATGTGATAAAAGCCATTAATGGTGTCAAAATGCTTAAAACTGATATATTTACACTATTGCCTAGTATGTTCAGATTACTCCCAATTATGATATGAACAAAACAGCATTAGAAATTAATTTTAATCAATCAAAATGTAACATATGCTGCCCCAGGCAACTTTCTGGTTCATGTATGCTGCTGCACCAGATCTGGACTTGGTGAGAATGTTTCTGTCTTAGAATTTTCTCTCCTTCCCAAGGCAACTAAAACAATCAACTTTTCCCAGTACAAGACACTATACAAAGCACCACAAAACAATCCGATTAATCATGTTATTATTTGCCGAGTATTTTCTTTCATGAAATAAAATGCATATCTCAGCAATTTATTTTCAATCTCAGAAGAAAATTTAGCAGATAATACATATTTATTAATAATAATAATAATGCGCGCCATGCCGTGGTGCAATGGACCCACCTAACATGGGTGTACAGGATTAAGAAACTGAAAAAGTGGCCAAGATCCAAAGGGCTGTTGAGCCATAGAGGAAGTCTAATGCATATTACATTCCCTAGCCACCTCATCTCAGCAATTTTATCATTCCAACAGCATCTGATGAAGAGTATAAATTATAAAGTTTCCTCTCATGTAATTTTCTCAATTCTCCTATTACTTTCTCTATCTTTGGTTCAAATACTGCCCGCCACACAAATCTTGAACAATTCCTATACACACACACACACACACACACACACACGAGTATATTCTTCTCTTAGGGTGGATAATGACAGTTAAATATTGTTACATGAAATATTGTGCAATGTCTGCTTTTACACTAGCAGAGTCAATCTCTGAAGAAGACACAAACATCTGTGAAAATGTGGGCACTAACACAACTCTGTTCCCAAAACCTGAAGGGAACACAAATGTACTTCTGCTGAACAACATTTGTCTACCAGTGAATGGGGAGATTCATTATTCTGAAATCACAATGAATCAGGGTGTCACTGGAATCTGTACACTCAAAATATCATTACTCCCTACTTTTCACACATCTATCCAGATTAACATATATTAGAAATCACTGAAATACATTCAATGTGGATAAAGAGATCCTCAAACTACAGAAAAATTATATTATGTGTACAACTGACAAGGACTGTAAAGCATAAATTCAACAAACGCACTTTTAGTACCAAAAGTATGCATTAATGAGAAGACACCATATTTCACTTAAGAAATATCTGTACCTACTGAAATGTACTACTAGAGATGACTGGAGGTTACACACACTTACCGTCATTTCTCCCCCAAAGCATTCTGCTGCAATCTGATTTGGATCAAATGGTTTCACTTCAGCATCATTGAACAGGAACCACTTGTCACGATTTGAAGTAGTTCGGTCACGAATGAAACTATAGTAATGACCACCGTCCGCTGTACCTGTATGCACTGTTACTCCTATCAGGTCATATTCGTAGCACTCATTAAAATCCTCAGAATCAGAGTCTTTAGGGTCTTCCTTGTCCTCCAATGAATGTCTTGATACACCAGATTTACTACAGTCACTGTTACTCGATGCAGACCCCATTTCCTTCACTTCTTTCGAGTGTTCCGATTTACGCAACTGCGACTTTCTTTTCTCCTCTGCACAAAAAATAAATAACATTCTAGTACAAATATCCCTTTCATAGTCCATACTAAATATTGGTATAATATGGCAGTAGTCCATAAACAAGAAACATACATATCACGATAACTTCTATGCAAAGTAAGTCACAAGGAAATAAATACCTATCAGACAGAATGGCAGCTGAACACCAAAAAGTTCAGTCATCACCTGACCGACAATAAAAGTGAAAGCTCTTCGCTAATTATCATTTTACCATTCATTTTGGGACTAATATGCCAAATCAACCATAATTACACATTTAATGTATGGTTATGATGGAATTACAATAATTAAGCCAGAGATACTATCTTTTCCCTTTTTTATCCCTTGGCACTACAGCCCCAGTGGGCCTAGGCCTACCTCGATGAACTCCGTTCACTTCGGTTTTTCTAGATCTTACACATACAGTAGGACTCCTTGGGCGAGTGATCAGCTCATCGCAAGGCCTCCACATGTAGATAAACACAGAAAAACGCACACAAACATCCATGCCCTCAGTAGGATTCGAACCCATGATCCCGGTTTCCAAGCGAGCGAAGACAGTGCATGCCTTAGACTGCTCGGCTACCGTGACCGGCAAAGATACTATCTACTGTCTCCAAAACACTGGATTTCTATTCCATAGTGACAGCTGATCACCACAGATGGCTTCACCACATTCAGCCATCAGGGAAACTTATGATTTTACACATATCAATTAATCATTTCATTAATTGCTGAGTACACTATTTCATGAGTTACGATGAAAGACTTCAAATCTCTGATCAAAAATTTAGCTGACAATAATATATATGTTCTTTTGATAATATTGCATTCACAGTTAAAAGCTTTTCTGCTCACTTGAAAATTTTTACTCTTAAAATTTATCTTAATTTCAACACCTCTTTATGTCAGTCTTTGCTTGTGTCGCTGAAGGACATTTATTTAACAACAAATTTCAAGTTTTCACAGTGGTAATAATAATATTATGGTCTTCAAGGATGTGACACTGTGCAGTTTTGTTGACAGGTGCCAATGTTTTACAAGACACTACTATCTCCACCTTCTACTACCTCTGTTTTTAGCATACAAAAATTCTCACTTCTTGTACCCCGAAGACGGACTACAGGTACCAAGCTACATGGCATCATGTTCTGGAAGACCATCATCATAAACACGTAACAATTTTCTGTGATAAAGCAACTATTCTATTTTGCATACAATTTGCAGTGTAATTACAAGTAGCTGATTAATGATTACACCAATCCTGTGCACCAGGTCATTAAGATGCGTAAAATTTTCAATCAAGTGCATTATTTTGACGTTTTGTATAGTCGTGTAAATTCATAAAATGTGACTTCATGCTGATCACCACTTGAGTCAAAGGTATAACTGTGAGCCTTTCTATTCAAATTGCATAATTTGAAACTAATCCAGACAAGAATGTGCACATTGCCTGATGGACTACTGTGAATACCTCACTCCAAGTATTTCCTCTGCATGTCTTTATCAAGATGAGAGCTCATCCATCACACTGATACATACTACATTCAAGAATTACAGAGGTAACTTTTCAGCATCTTCTGTCATAGCGTAAAATTTGTAACAAGACAGTGTGTATTTTTATAATCAATAACTAAAAATTTTCAGGGCAGCACTTAATCTACAGAAAATTTGTTGAGAACAGTTGATCACTTAAAGATATTAAATGAGTTACATATTTCAATGCCCAATGCTATGAAATAAGTATGCCTGGCAAATACTTTCAGAGTTGCAATTAAGCTTGCAATGACTTTTTTTTTTCCCTTTGGTGCTACAGTACCAATTTGGGCCCTGGCCTACCTCCATGAAACTCTCCATTTCACTTCGGTTCACTAGATCTTAAGACATTTGGTAGGACTCCTTGGGCGGGTGATCAGCTTGTTGCAAGGTCTCTACCTGCATACAGACACAGAGAAATGCACGCGTGTGCACGCGCACACACACATGAACACTAAACATCCATGCCCTGAGTGGGATTCGAACCCACAATCCCAGCTTCCGAGTGAGCGAAGAGAGTGCATGCCTCAGACTGCCCAGCTACCGTGACTGGTGACATGTCGTTTACTTGCAGCTAAATTGTCATCTCTTAGATATGACAAACTAAATACCTTTACCAGATCTAGACAATTCAATAACATTTATTTTTCTTTAAAAATCGTTTCCTAGGCAACAAAGGGAGCTGACAGATGAAATATTTCTTATATAAATACTGTAACATGATCACAAATGATCACTAGCCTGTGCTGTAATGGCATATTCATTAGGAAGGATGATGGATAGTGCTGCTAGTGGCGGCTGGGAGAACTACAACATGGTTTTCTGAACATATTCACATTGCAGATAAGGTCGTAAATAACATTATAAATGTGGTAAATTTTCATTTACATTTTTGCCAGATGGATGCAAATTCAGGTAGCTTGTATATTGGATAATTGGGAGTTTACTATATTCCGATATACTTTTCTTTGTACATGAAAATACATACAAACTTCATACTTCAGTACCCATCTGAACAGCTGTCAAGCTTCAATAAGGCAGAGATCATCTGAAAAACTATCAACTTCACTATACTGTATAAACATCGTGCATCATATCAATCAAAATACCATGAAAACATAAAAAAATATATAAGACACTTTTTTCTTGCAAGGTAGAAACAGTAAAGAAAATATGAATTTATGCTGTAACACTCAACCACAATGATATTTTACACTACTATATTTTGCCAACTGTTTCCTGAAACAGGAAAATGACTATGGTTGCTGACATTACACTACTGCATCATGAAATTTACTGGAGACATTTCATTTCTAGATGTAGGTTAACTCCAAGTATAAATCCCCTTGTAAAAAGTGCAATGGTGGCTTGAATTTAAAAGTTGTTTATGGCTTATGTTTGGATAAAAACATTACACATAAAATTACAAAGCATACCTTGATAATGTTGTGGCATGAGATGCTTTTCAACATAGCCCGACATATCCAGTCTCAGTGGAAAAGAGAAGTGAGTATTAACTTTCTCCTTGAGCATTGTGTTCATGTTAAAAGTGTACCTCATTGTGTTGAAACATAATACATGCGGTAGTTTCTTGAAGCAAGCCCTTAAACAGAATAAAACACAATGCCATTAATATACCTGCAACAAAATACAGCAAAGAAAACACAATTTATTAAATACATCTACAGTATTTATTCACATAATCACTCAAGTACTTTATTAGAAGGTCAAAATACAATGAAAATTCAGTCAAACTTCTGATATGCTGCAGATAAAACATTATCTTATATACATCATGTAGTCCTTTTGTGTAATGTTAGCCATTTCTGTCCAGTTCTCAGTCTCTGGCAACCACTATGCAGTTATAACTGGTTGGAACAAAATAAATACGGTCACGAGTCCTACATGACTCAAAATCAAGAATGACTGTGCTGGCGAGGACCAGATGGAGACCAAACTCTCAGAGTTGTGAGACAGTACAATATGGTTGTGTTCCACAGGACACAGAACCAAGAATGACCATGTTGGTGAAGATTAGCAACAATTTACCTAACTCAACCTGACAGTTGGTCAGAAACCGCGAGTCAGTGGTTAGTAGTCTTGAGTCAAACCCCATTGTTGGCAGCAGCTACCTACCGACGACTAGTGAAAAAACAGAAGACATCACATGCACTGTAGTTTTAATGACCTACAGAGTGTGTAAATCAGTGTGACTATTATAGTTATTGTAGCTGTAAGCATTCAATAGCTGGTCACGGTAGCTGAGCGGTCTAAGGCATGCACTGTCTTCGCTCACTCAGAAGCCGGGATCCTGGGTTCGAATCCCACTCATGGCATGGATGTTTGTGTACAGGTAGAGGCCTTGCGATGAGTTGATCACCCGCCCAAGGAGTCCTACCGAAAGTGTAAGATCTAGAAAAACCGAAGTGAACAGAGAAGTTCATGGAGGTAGGTCTAGGCCCACTGGGGCTGTAGTGCCAAGGGGGGGGGGAAAGCATTCAATAAATCTAATTGTCAACCAAACTCCATATGCAATCTCTATCATGTGCCAATACAACAAGTGGAAGGGGGGACAAAGGTTCAAATCATGTAACTGTAACTCCAGAAGCCTGGAAGAAAATTATGTAACTGCTGAAAGGTAGGACATATCTAAGACATCTGGGGAGATATGTAAAATTCACCACTCACCTCTTCTCTGCACGCACTTTCTTCCCACACTGTGAACACGTGTACATGTTGTCACCTTCAAGAGTGTCCTTTACTGTCACTTCATCCAGGGACTCATACAGGTTACGCATATCAGCAACCTGACAGCGAACAGTATAAAACTCTTCCAGTGTCCGGCTCACATGTTCACAGTCCTTTATGTAACAGAAGAATGATGTAAGTTCAACAGAGGATTGGATACATCACATTGTAAGAGTGTCGTAAAGTTTCTCACTTCCATTCTATCTTCCAGCAATAAGATAAAGAGTTATTCATTTGACATCGGGTTCTCTTAGAACGTATTGCAGTGATTTCTTGCTTATCATGGTCAACTTCAGTTCCTCTTAGATTAACTGATTCACAACTTAAATCAACCTGTAAGATTTGAGGCTTTCACGGCGGTGACTATGAAGAAAGTGGTCTTCTGTGATTTGGCACCGTGTATATGTGGTGTTAACCGACGTTTTGGAGGAACGTATCACCTCCATCTTCAGGGTAGAAGAAAAAATATAAGAAATCTGCAAGCGAAGAGACCGTGAGAAGCGGTCGGTTAACACCACATATACACGATGCCAAATCCCAGAAGACTGCTTTCTTTAAATCAACCTGTTCACCAACCATAACTGAACTGATACTCTCTCATGAAATACCTGAGCTGTCTGTACATTATTTTCTTCACTTAACTTGGTAATCGCATCACATTCATTTTGATCTACAGAGTCACAATTCTGATAAAGCGGAGACTGATATATTTTATCACAGCCACTGATGTCGACTTCCTCTACACACGGAAACTGGTTTACAGCTGAATAACTCTGCATGTTTCCATTTTCTTTCCAATTTAAGGCAATAGGTAGTGACATTTTCAAACTGAACAAATCATTTATCACAGCAGTGACTCTGTTTGCTGCGTGCTCTTTCCCTTGAGCATTTAAATGAAGCCCATGTCTTGTATAGAGGTCCCTATCAGAGTCTACTGTTACTACTTCACTGAGCAACCACTTTCATTTTGGAAATCAATGTCAGAATTGGCTGTGAATGCACGCAATAAAGTAGAAAGAAACAAAACTTATGCTTTGGAAGACACGAGACACCAAATATTGCACAACTTTTAAGAAAATAAGTTGTGAGTCTCAATTCTGGGTTTAGCACTAATGCTTCTACACTGTTAGCACAAAGAATACTTACCAAAGACACAACATTGTTGCTGATCACACCGCCAAAGAGTGTTTTGACTAGGTTCTTTAGTTCTGGTGTCATTTCCTCTAGTTTTGACACTAAATCAATAAAGAATTCGGCCATATCTTTCTGCTCTCCTGTGTTCAGTGGCTGGTGGTCCATTGTGTACACCTTACAAAAGCTCCTGGGGTTATAAGCTTTCCTCTCACTTTCCTAAAGCAGAGAACAAAATAAACTGCACTCAAAATGACACCCCTTTTCTATGGTCTTGATTTTATAAGGAAAAACTGGCTTATAGTATTAATATTTTTTTTATTATTATTGCTAGTGGGGTGGGACTAAGTCCCTTGTACTGTGGCCACTTCTGGCCTATTGTACCAGCCCCAGATGATAGGTGAGGGTGACTGTGGAGCAATTGGTGGAATGAAGATTGGCAGGGGAAACCGAAGTACTTGGAGAAAACCTGCCCCAGCGCCACTTTGTCCACCACAAATCCCACTTGACCAGACCCGGGATCGAACCCAGGGCGCCATGGTGGGAAGCCAGCAACTAACCGCTTCAGCTATGGCGTGGCCTGGCTTATAGTATAACCACATCAGCATGTCTGTCACTCATACATCCATTAACAGCTTGTGATACAACTGAAGAACTTTGTAACACCAGACATGAATACAGGGGGGGGTGTCCAAAAATGTACTCGCTCTTTGATAGTCAATATCTTTGGAACAAAATGATAAGTAGTTACAATTCTTGTGCAGTAGTGTAGTGTAATGTTTTCTCAACTGATGGTCAAGGTCACATGAGTCACGTGAGTGTTGTGCCGTGTGCGCACTGTGAGCAGAAGACAGCAGCAACAATGGCTGAAAGGTTGTTCTTTGAGCAGCGCAAGGCTGTATTGAAGTGGTACTGGAAGTACGAAAATATTAAAGAGGTACAACGGCAATGAGAGAATGAGTTTGGTACTCAGCCACCAACACGTCGAACAATTACCCATATTCAGGATAAATTTGAAGCTGACGGTACTGTTCATGATGTGCATAAGCAAAGATCTGGTGACGAAGTCATGTGTGAACCAATAGGAGCAAGAAGAGAAACTAGTGTTGGTCCTGAAAGAAGGCGTTTTGAAACCCGAGAGAAAATGGAGAATGGAGCAGAGTGGAACAATGGGAGGGTAGGAGCATGCAGAATTTGTAAAGGGAGTCCTAGAATGGGTGGGAGGACCAAGTCACCGTCTGGGGATGAAGTCAGAGAGTAGAGAGTGGTGAAAGGTGTTACAAGGAAAGCACCAATGGGCAGGAGGGCAGAATATAATATAACTTAACTGGGACCGAAGCAAAGGTATGGATGGGGATAAAGGAAGAGGAAGGAGATGGGCTATCCAAAAAGGGTTATGCCTGTACCCTCAAAAGGGCATATGTACACTCAGCATAAGGGCCTAGTTAGAGAAACCTACATGACACATTTTAAGAGAGAGGCTTTCTGCATTATTTCAGGGCGTGGATAAGAAGTTTCCATGACTTGCTTTGAGAGAAGGCATCCTGCCTGTTCATGTTGCTAGGCCCCTTTCAGGGCTAACACTGGTGCCACATCTTCTTGCTCCTATTTGTTTGTTCACAACTCCTTCACCATCTTATATCTATACTGCCTTTTCCACACTTGACTTTGCTCTGCTTGGTTCCTTCTTTTATCCTGAAGATGGATGCAATATGTTCTTCTGAAACACCAGTACACTTCTACCGGATCACGTGACATAACATCCCTGAATACAGTACTCATCATTGGCACTGCTGTGAGAACCTCAAGTCGACACCAGTGCCCCTCTACATACAGTCCTGAAATTCTGTCTGATAAATATCCAAACAATTTGCAACTTTCATACTGCAAATATTTCTGTAAAATGTAAAACAAAAGGATGGACGTATGAAATACATATTTTGCTATCCACATGAAGGCGATAACTAACGAACTACAGCAGCAAGGCATGCAAGACCACAAACATACCTGCATTTATATGCAAAAATTACAAATTTGGTAATGGTGCCATACTTTTGAGGCTGTTTCTGGCAAATATAAGGATGAAGAGGCATCAAAAGTTCTTCCCAGAACTTCTTGCTTCTTGCAACAGTCACTGACCTGCCATTCTCACCTGACTGGGATATTACTCAGAGGATGTAACAACAGACAAAATATATTACATAATTCTGGTAAGCAAATACCAATTATGTGCGCACAGGGTGTACACTCTGTGCCCACAAGATACAGTGAACAAGAATGTGCTCATGCAGGTCACATTTCTCTACCAGTGCATAAGGAAATCCTGAGCTATGAAGACGCAAAGAATAGGGGTGTCACTGGCAATCTACAAGTTAAAGATAAGCCACACTTAATGTTTTAATAGAAATATTGTATTTCAGCATTGTGTTGTGTGTGTATAACTTATCGTTCCCTATGTTCAGTCACCACAATTAGGCAGTAATACTATACAACCTCTCCCACATGTAATACATTGGCCAGTGTAGGGAGAAATAGCAGTTAAACTAAAAAGGTGAATCTACAAATGTATTACCTGACAATAGCCAGAACAGGCCGAAACATGTTGTAATATGAGGTGGTAACAGAAAGTTCCCAGACTGTTATTGTTGTAATGGCCTTGGTGAAAGATGAGAGGGGAGGCCAAGGTCACACTTCTGAAAGCCTATTGCATCAGTCTGCCACGTGACATCATGCTGTGAACACGCATTATTTTTACATGAGTGCTTTTTCAACTTTGTGTTTAGTTTTGTCTGAGATAGATGGCAAAATCAAGCAATGTGACTGCATCAAGTTTTGCGTGAAGCTCAGTAAATCTGCTACCAAAAACCTTGAAATGCTTCCTGAGGCTTTTGGAAAACATTCTCTAAGCCTGACAGTAGTTTCTGAATGGCATTCATGTTTCAAGGTCGGTCAAGTGTCAGTTGAAGATGACAAACGTTCAGGGTGACCAAACACCAGCAAAATAGCAGAAAATGTCAAAAAATCATCCACAAAGACCGTCCCTGAACAATCCATGAGCTCACAGACACCGTTGGGATCAGTTATGAAGTTTGCAAGGAGATCTTAACAGAAAATTTGACCATGCGCCGCACTGCTGCGTCATGATAATGAGTCCACTCACACATCCCTGAAAACCACAGAGTTTGTGACTAACAACACCATGGTTATCATTCCCCATCCTCCATACTCGCTGGACTTAGCCCCCTGTGATTTTGCTTTGCTTCCCAAATTGAAAATGAAACTGAAGGGATGATGTTTTGAAACAGGGTCTGACACCCAAAGAGAAATGCAAGTTGTACTCAACAGCATTAAGAAAAATGACTTCAACAGTGCTTTTGAAACCTGGGGGAGGGGAAACCAGGATCACTGTATATGTTCCCATTTTGAAGGATATGACAGCAAAAATTAAGTTAAACCACCATTTTCTTTTCAACCTAGTCTGGGAACTTTCCGATACACCTTGTATATATAAGCGTAGTTACGCACACTATTGTGGTAACTGAACATAACCATAAATTAATGTTTTAAGTTGTCTGTAAATTCTACAGTACATCATGCCTCAAGTTTGAGAGTTTAAGGGAGAGCTCGTTTCAGGCTTACTGGACATAACAACATTACAAAAAAGGTAGTGTCAGAAGTTCAACAGCCAGTTCAAACTTATGGTCTAGTTAACATTATTAAATAGATTAACAGAAGTCGTTATACTTTCACTTGTATCAAATCTATCTCATCACTCATGGAGCTGAGCCCTTTGGCTGCAGTTGTAGACAAAATTTCATACAAAGTGAGGATTTCTTGAGAGCAGGAGCGGTCTTGCACTCCATACATTCAATGCAGTCCTTGTTTAACTTCATGTCCCCCAAAAGGTCTGCAATCTTCTGATTACAACTAACACTACTTACTTCTCCCCTTGCCCCTACTGTTTCTCCCTGTGGTACTTTGTTAGCCTTTATCCTAATCCCTCTCGCTACCACTGGTTCTTCCTAAGTTTCTTTATCTGCCTTATTTGCTACATTTTCAACACGTGATTTGCTTTGCCTGCTGACTACTTGCTTGGCTTACTCTATGTGCATATGAATTGAGGCAGTACATTCCACCAAAATGAAGATGAACTTCTAACGAGCTACACAGTGTTATATCACAGAACACAGTCCTCTTCACAAGTAAAACTCTTTTCAGTTGCACACCCCTCTCAGGCATCTATTAAAAAGTCTCTAAGCCACTTCTAGGATGTGTTTCATATGCCTACTTACAAGCAGATATGCAAACATTCTCTGTAACTCTCGAAGTGTATGTTCATGCTTGCTGTTGTTATCACACTTTGCTCGAAGGATTGACGTGCGAGCCTGAGGCATCATGTACAGATGCTGCATACATGAAGCCATGTAACACGTTGCACCGAGATTAGTAAGACCTACATAGCCACAGTCTGAACGTCCATCTTCATGTGGCCAATAGTCCCATGGGTATGGTGAATTGGGTCCTGAAACAGTTATCAAGAACTTCTTCAGAATCAAAACAGTCATCATATGCATCATGTTTACAGTACAATCAAAATATTTCCCAGGACAACTAACTGCATTGAAACTGCTCACATATCTTTTTCCATCTGAAACATCAAAATAATTTGTTCCGCAAAAATTTCCCATATAATTTATGTGTACGTTACCCTTACAACAATTTTTTCATTTACACTATTTCCCGCCTTAAATGTACATTACAAAAGTCACAGACTTAATACTGTCATGTTATTAATGACTACAGACAGGTTTTGGATTGGTAATTGGTTTTAATGGACTCTTTGATACAGCATGTGACTACACTTTATACAGTTCACTGTTACAGACACTAGTGTCCAAATCATGTTTTCACTAGCCCCTGCTTGGTAGCAGCTTCCAACAGTCGATGTTCCCCTTCCTTTGGGTTTATGAACTGTCCACTTCCTCAGCAACAGTCCTCTAACTAACTTGCCAACTCACCAACCAACTCTTCAATAACTGACTGACTCCTCTTCACTTGTCCTGAACATCTCAGCATGGACAGCATAGAAAACAACGCTCCTCTGATGCAGTGCAATTGTTGCATTCATGCCTGTTGGTGGAGCCATTATTTAGCAGCAGCTGTTGTACAGTCGCTTAGTTTGCAGTTGTTGCCTAGCAACTGGGCTACATGCCATTTTCTACCCACTTAATGAATTTTCCTTTTGTACCAAAATATCTTTAATTTTCCATATTTGGCATGATATTTCAATTTCTGACACTTTCATTTTCTTTAAATATGCAGTGCTGAGATGCAGCTTTTGGCGAACACTCAGCAAGCATGATTCCTACTTTACATTAGTGAAATATGTTGGTTTCTGAAATAATTTTTGAGAATATAACTTAAAATAATTAATAATAGTAATATAACAATAAATAATAATAATTTATAATATATTTATAATTTGTATGCAGTAGCGTAGTTGGTTGAGGCACTATGCTACAAGCTGGAAGTTTGCGGGTTCAAGTCCCAATGAGGTCATTGGATTTTTTCAGTTGACCTAATCCTTCTGGCCGCACCATGGCCCTGAGGTCGACTCAGCCTCTAACAGATGTTGAGTACCAGGAATTAA